GAAATAGAACAATAATCTGCACATGTGCACGAGGACTGACCAATCATAAACCGTTTTCGGCCGGGCTGATTCGCCGAAGACAAAAAGGTACAGTTGCAGAGCTGGAGACCGCCGATTTACTTCTTCTGCTGCTGTAGGCCCACACTTTTACTGGAGATGGCGCAGGCGTCAACCTGCGATCTCTGGTTCAGCAGTCGTCAGACACTTTGGCTTTTCCTGCATTTGGCAAATAAAGTCAATGGGAGTTTCAACTACCGTCCCGTTTACACACGCAGCTCTGTGGCTCTTCTGAATTTCCTTCAGTGACACAGGGATGGTTCAGTGGCGTGTCCAGATCTTTTAAAATGGGGTGGCCCAGGTGAGGCACAATTTTGTGCATGGGTGGCACCAATGGTTATGCTTCTTTTGTTTTACCCCCAACCCTTTTGTGGACAATGAAAAGCCTATTTAAAGGTAAATTAGTGTGGTGGCACCTGGGGTGGCCAATCAGTTTCTAAGGGTTGCATGTGCTACCCCAGGCCACTCCCTGGACACACCCCTGGGATGGTTATACCATGAGACACCCGCTCCCTGCTGCTCGGAGCGCCGGTATTATCATGATGGAGAAAAAACACAACAGAGAAATGAGGTGTAAAAAAAAAAGCTTTTTAGGAAAATGTCTGTGAGAATGAGGAGAGCAGGAGGTCTGAGTTATATCCTACAACAGAACTGTTTGGATCACCACACCATATCTGTCTTAATGTCACTTTATTGATACTTTTGGAATTTATTGTACATATCAAAGCAATTTGGGCCATTTTAATCATACTAATTAATAACTTTAACACATAAAATAGTTTTTTATTTTCCTCCCTTTTAGTCCTAGAAGCTATGGGGGAAATGAACGCCAATGTGGCGTGATGACATCATCAATAAGTAAATTAGCACGTGACGTCATCCGGCGCCATCTAGCAACCTTTGGGGGGGGGGGGGGGGGGGGACTTCAGCTACTTTCAGTCAAAAACAGTTGGCAACACTGCTGTTTCCACAAAAAAAATCCATAAAACTATTGGGATTCATCCTTTTTGGAAAATGGTGAACCTCAGTGACATACATATTTATTCAAATTGTGATGAAATAAATTATTTATGATGTTTTCGCGTGCTATCAAATTAATATATTGCTTAAATAATTAGAATGTCTGCTTTGTGAGAACATGTTTGTGATTTATTAAAGGCCAAGTTCACAGGAAAAACTGGTTTTTACTTGTTATTTTTGAAAAATGATCGGTCACTCTGAGCTTAACATGCTGGCTGATGGTGAAAACAGTCTTCTACCCCTATTTGCTGCATTAGCCGCTGAAAGAAAATAGACGAGGAAATGTTCAGGTCAGAAAAACAGACAGATCCACGTCACACTGTAAAATCAGCATTCATGGACTCATTCATCTTGGCTTGCAACAGGTTTAGCATCCAGAATAAAGTGCCTCAGCTAGAAGCTAACCGTTAGCAGTAGCAACTCCACAACAGGGCAGAACTCCTCCATGCTTGTGTTATTTGTGGAGATAAAACATCAACACTGCAGAGTAAACAGAGTCAGCGATAGAGATGAATTGCTGTTAGTCAATCAGAGGCGAGATGCACAAATATCATAATCAAAAAAAGAGTGAACTTAGTCCTTAAAGGTGTGGAGCACTCATTTAATCAATACATTTACAACGGTCTCTAGTATTAGTGAATGCCTTGTAAGTCAGACTATGGAGAAAACAAGTTCCCATGCACCAGTTTTGGGAACTAGACAGTTGCCACATCAGAGAAGAGCTTCTGACGACAGGATTTGGAGTCTTACTTCCTTGTATTTGGACTTCTTGCCTCAGATTGGATAGAAGGAAAGCAACTCTTCCTGACTCTGTTTTTCTCTGCAACATTAATGTTTTATCACCACAAATAACACAAGCCTGGAGGAATTCCGCTGTGTGGTGGAGTTACTAATATTAATGGTCAGCTTCTAACAGCCAAAATGTTTTCTGTTGTTTCCTGGACACTAAAGCAACCACAGTCGTCCTCGTCACGAGTCAAGATGGGCGAGTCCATGAATGTTAAGAGACAGTGTGACGTAGATCTGTCAGGCTTTTCAAATCCCAGAGTTTCACCGTCTTTTTTCTATCAGTAGCTAATGCAGGAGATAGGTGTAGAAGACTATTTTCATGTTCAGCCTGCATGAAAAAGTCATTATAATCAGAATGAATAATTTGAAAATGGTTTGTCAGTGTTTCAGACCTTTAAGGGGAGATAGGAGTGGTCTTTGATGGGGGTGCCAGTGGGGTGTCCAGGTATTTTTCAGGGATGGCAACCGCTTGGGGGCACCACTGCTGCTAAACATCTTGCTTTTACTGTACTTTCACCCTCCCACTGTCCTAATGGGTGTGACCCCGCCAGGAAAGTTGACCATTGAGCAGGGTTGATGGTTTGACCCTTGGGTCCACGTGGCAGGGGTGAGGACTGAGCACCACCTCACCCCTGCCACGTGGACCTCAAGGGATAAACCATCAACCCTGCTCAATGGTCAACTTTCCTCGTGGGGCCACCCATAAAGACAGTGGGAGGGTTAAACATTATTAGAGTTTGTTTGTGCATTTATTTAGATGATTTTTATATGCACCGTGTGTGTCCCTGACCGCAGTGTTTGGGTTTCAGACAGCCAGCAGCCATTTGTGGAAGACACGGGATTGAGACCAGATGTGTTGTTCATGAAGGTGAAGGAGCCGCTGCTTATCCCCTGCAGGGTCACCGACCCCAAAATCACCGCCGCACTGGTCAAGGTTAGTGCACGAAGGAAGCCAAATCAGCCCAGAAACAGGAACTCTTTCAAGTCATGTTTAGGTGCAGAGTGTATCTACGCACTCGCGTCACACTTTGTCCTCCTCTGCTCCGTTACACCCCCCACGCCCTATGAACATCGTCACTTCTCCTCTTGATTCTGGATCATTCACCACATTGTTCTTGCCTTGGCAGCCGTCACGCCGTGGCGTGTGTGGGTGTCCGTTTGTTTGTGTCCAATTGCGGAAATGTGTGAAAGTGTGCACAGATGTGATTGTGAGTGTTGGCACGTGTGTGTTGAGTGAGGACGAGAGTGGCACTGAAGCGTTTGGAGTGCTCTCTGTCTGCCGGTTGGCGTTACGTGCCTGCACCCGTTTACGCTAAAACAAGAACCGCCGTTGGCATCGTTCTACTCCTCTGGAAACAGGACATGGACCTTTTGGCCACTGGCCATTACCACTTCCCACATCTTACCCTTCACTTCTGGTTGAGGAATAATAGCTGACAACTTTCCCCAGCTGATGCTTTACACAGCTGGCAGCCCTGGTGCAGGAAGCTTCTGTTGGTCCCAACAGACTGAAGCACCATTTTTTATCTGTAATCACATTGATTCACTGTTTTTGCCACAGAGTTGATCAAAATGTCAAAAAAAAATAATATATATATATATATATATATATATATATATATATATATATATATATATATATATATATATACATCTTTATTGCATCTCCATCCTTTCAAATTCAAGATTGCTGCAAAAGTTAATTTTGCACAATCTTAGTCAACAGAAAATGAACGCTAGACCTTTGACCGAAGACTTTTTGGATACATGGAAGTGAAATCTTCCACCTCCTGCCTCCACTGCCTGACAAGACTCTGAAAACGCTTCAGTAATCACTCTAAAAATAACTCCCCTCCTTTTCCTTCATCTCACTCCTCTTCCTCCTGCGCTGGCCGGTTTGAACCAGGAATCTGATCACTGTCAGAACCTCTGGAGTGTTTTTTTCCTGGAAGGACTTTGCACGTTACCTGGGTCTCTGCTCTGACCCTTCTCAGAGCAAACAATACCCATGAGGCTCTTCTCTCACTTAAGCTGTGAAGTAAGGCCTGACCTGGGGTTCCAGTCCTAATGTCTATATCCTGTAGTAACAGGATGTAAAGAGATGGGCTGAAGGCACGTTTCACATATCCTGAACTCACGGCTCCTCCCCTCATTCCTCCACCTCTGCTGCCACCTTGTCAACATGTACAGTAAGGCTGAGAGGATGGATGTATGGAGGCAAGAAGGGCACTGAGCGTGCTCAGACGGGGCGTCAGTGAGTTCAGAAGGAGGAGACGAAGGGAAGGGTGTACTTCACAGTACTGAGAAGGGAGGACAAAGAGGTCAGCTGTGTCTCAGAGGGTCACCTCACTCAGGGAGGGGGATATCAGTCAGTTCACACCGTGGATGCAGGAGTGGAGAAAGTGTGTAATGGTGGGGGCCAAAGCAGGGGGTCTGATCCCTTGAGGGAGGGTGGGAGGCTTCCACAATGTCACATAAAAAAACATTTCCTTATAGCTGCCTCAAAGAAAACAACAAGGTTGTACAAGTTACACAAGTGTCCAGAGTCACGGGTTACAAAAGCCAGCTTTTATCTTCTGTTTCCTCATATAATGAGATCATCTTACATCAATGTGATTTTGCTCTGGTTCGCTGTTGCTAATGTGTTTCCATCATTCTGTTGCAGCTTTTGTTGCACAACACCAAAAGGTGACACGCAGCCGTGGGCTTTTTGCATGTGAAACCATGGAATCTGCTGCTGATTAACTTTTGATGTCAACCCAGTTCCTTAGCAAAAAATGGTGCTAAATCTAACACATTTCAGAGTTATTGGGTTAAAAGTGGGAGTCGCTGGAGCTGAGAAAACGTTTTTTAAAAAGCAACACAGATCTACGTCACACTTAGCGTTTGTGGACTCACCCATCTGGGTTCGCGGCGGCGAAGGCTATTGTTGGTTTAGCGTCCAGGAAACAGCAGACAACATCTCAGCTAGCAAAAGCTAACGTTAGCATTAGCAACTCCACAACAGGGCAAAACTCCATCAGGCATTTTGGGGAAAAACGCACAAACATTGCAAAGCAAACAAAGTCAATGGTGTCTTGCTGTTATTAGCCAATCAGAGGCGAGATGTCACAATATCAGGAATATTAATGAGTAAGACTCCAAATTCTGCCATTTATCTCCCCCTGATCTCCCCCCAGATCTTCCAGTTATAATGTACTTGCTGAAACACGAGCACCAGAGCTTTTTTTCCACAGATATCGACTCACACAGCATTCCTTCCTACTAGAGGCAGCTGCAGATTTTTTTAAATAACAAGTGTATGCCCACTAAGGTTTGACCGACGGGTTTGACCAACAGCTAAAATTCCATCATTTCTTAGTAGAAGATTATGTTTGATTAAGACTCTGGCATCATTAACATAAAAATGTTTAATGAATGCTTAAAACGTCAATTCACATATTTATGGTTCATCATTGTACTGCTTCGGCTCTCCTCCCACAGCTTTACACCCAGGTCCTGACTCCGGACCAGGAGAGCATTATGTGGGACAGCAAGCAGGGTTTTACCATCAAGGCTCCACTCATAAACTCCACTGGTCTCTTCCACTGCCGGACTATCATTGATGGTGTTGCATACAACTCACAAGCTTACTACGTGCACAGACAAGGTTAGCATGCTTTGTTTGCTGAAGTATACAAATTGCAGTATGTCACTATCCCAGCAGTTCCAAATCCTCTCTTTTTTACTTATTTATTTATTTATTTATTGCAGTAAATGACATCACAGGTGTGTATCTGAATACCAGCGAATCAGTGCAGACCCTGAAGGGGGAGCAGCTGGTTTTAAACTGCACTGCCACTACAAAGCTCAACACCAGGGTCAACATCACCTGGGAGTATCCTGGAAAGGTCAGAACTGCATCCAGCATGGCCCACACTTGGATCAAATGTGACTGGATTCTGAGCTTTACTTAAAAATGTGTCCGTTGTTTGTTAAACATTTATTATGGAAGAGAATCAAAAGTAAAGCTACCATGAACATTAAATCTTTAAACAACATGTGTTACTCCACTAAGCCACGTGTAGCCGGGTCTACACAATGACTGTAGAAATACTGGACAAACCCTCCGTGACGTCACCTATAGGTTTCTGGAGGGTTGCGTTGAAGCCCAGTGGGTGGTTCTGACCACCGCCATCTTAGCTGTGTAGCACGTCCCGACACTATCAGACAATTCAAAAGTGGGCAAAGAGGTGTAGCTAAGAGCAGATATGTGAGGTTTTGAGTTTGTCATTGCTCCCAGCTGCAAGCTAACTGAGCTAACCGAAGCTAACACATGTTGGCAGGTGCTTTTAGCGAGAAAAACATGGTTGAGTGACCCTAACGTGAAGCATACATCAACCCACTGAGCTACAGAGTTTCTGTGGTCTCACTCAGAGTCCTCCACAGGTGACAAGCACAGCCTCAGACCACAGTGATCAGAGCCAGGAACCCAGGCAGCGTTAGCCAGTGCTCCACTCCTCCACAGTGGTCAAAGATCCACGGTGTCGGTGGTCTGACCTCAGACAGAGACGATACTGAATGTCGCTACCCGGCCCTACAAACACGTTACAGTTCAGCCCATTTTGACCAAGCGGCATTATGTTAATTGCACAGGATTTTTCCCCATTCAACCAGTGAAATAAATTACAGAGAAATGATTTTACTTACTGATAAAAATGAAGCAGAGACTTTCTAGATGGTCTGTTTGTGCAAACAAAACCACAGTTTAGAATCTTTGTCCCATAGTTCCATGATTAACATCATAGTAGTTGTCGTATTTTGCACAGATAATTAAGAATGCAAGATAGGAGCAACGTTAGTTACCTAAAATCATTTAGTTTTCTGTCTATCAGGGAGGATCTACATTCATTTGTTTTGGTTTATATCAGTATCAGAATTTAAGAGTTAGAATATATCGGTATATTGGTATATAGTTATATCTTTATATCAGTATATCAGTTTATCGGTATATCAATATCCAACATCATAAAAAAATGATGGAACATGGGACAGTCCTAATGACAATTATTGTGTACATGTTCAAAAGGAACAGGAAACTTGAAAAGGACATTTTGATCCATTTAATGGCAGCTAAATTAGCAGCGGTTGGATATGATACAGAAAGGGCTTCAGATTTTGAAGCTAATAGTTTTAACACTAGTTGACAAATGAGAAATGATACAGTAATGAATTAGATTTAAAAGTTTCCAAATAGAACATAGAACTATTTTAATATTTTATTGCCTCAGAAACGATGGGATCGCATTTTCGTCACTATGGCGTAAGAAATAAAAAAGACACATTTTCAGTAATGTATGAGGAATCTCTTTGAATGAATTAACTCAAGACATCTTCTTTGTAATAAATGGATAATTATATCATTATAATGATATAATTATATGATACATATCAATATATCAGCTTTTGTCACAAGCCTAAAAGACAGAAGAAAATTTCCAAACCTGATTGTTTAGCATAACAGATGGATTTTTATTACGTATACTGACTTTGCTGCTGCTCTCATCTTGAAGACTAACAAAGCCGGCTCCAGCTTCAAAAGGCTGGTGAAACACTCGATGCACATGATGTTCTACAACGTCCTGACCATCAAGAACCTGCAGCATTCAGACAGAGGTCTCTACACATGTCGCGTCACCAGCGGCAAACAGAGCAAACAACAAAATGTCACGGTGATGGTCCACGGTGAGTTTCCTTTCCTGAAATGCATGTGTCATTTAGAGAGTGGAATCACTGTCATGAGTTCAGATTACTCACTGAGATACTCACAGAAACCTGACTCACGCTGATGAATGCTGAAGTCACGGCAGCCATCGGGAAGTCTGTATGAATGGGTTTCTGTGCTCTGTTTCAGATCGCCCGTTTATCCGACTCAAACCCAGAAACGGATCTGTGATGGTGGCGCAAGCAGGGCAGAAATCCTACAAAATCTCCGCCAAACTGCGAGCGTTCCCCCCACCGGAAGTCATCTGGTAAGGGGTGTTCTTCACCGTCATGGATCAGAAACACTTTTAGGTTGCCCCAGGTTATTTCCTTTGCAATAAAAATCTTACTCTAGCCTGTAATAGCTGGAACGTTCGTATAATTTTGTCATTTCCTTCCATGAAGCTTTGGTTTGGTGATGTTTATCTCACATAGTCTTTGAGGTTTTGCTCAGAAGTGTTTTTCTCCTGCAGGTTGAAGGATGGGAAGGTGGCAACCCGCCAGTGCTCCAGATACAAAATGATCGGGGCTTCCCTGGTCATCGAGGACGTTGCAGAGGAGGATGCGGGAAAGTACACCATTTTTGTGCGAAACCAGAAACACGGGCTCCTCCAGAATATTACACTCACTCTTGTGGTAAACGGTGAGTCACGACAAATCCCTTTTTCCCAAACACCGTGTTTTCTTCCTTACAGCTAATAAGTGATTGGTGTTTTTGTCGTATAGTGAGCCCTCAGATTGGGGAAAAGGCGGTGTCGTTGCAGGACCCCGGGTCTGTGCCAAAGGGAAGCAGGAAAACCTTGCGTTGCACATCCCATGGGGTCCCGCCTCCTCACATTCAGTGGCGCTGGCATCGCTGCCCATCCAAAGGCCTGTAAGTAGCAGGAGTGAAGATGCTAAAACCAACTTTAGAGTTTATTTAGAAAAGAAAACACAAGCATTAACCTACCCTTACAAAACCAGCAATCTTCTATTTTCTATTTCATTTCCTTATCCCGTAAACTCTCTGAAAAAAATCACCTTTATCCTAAATTAAAGAATATTTGCATAACGTAATTCTAATTCAAATTCAATTCAAAGATACTTTATTAATCCCAGAGGGAAATTAGAGTTTCAGTACACACAATTCTGAGGTCAGACATACATACATAGGCATAGACACATGACAAGATTTGGTGACTGTGGTCATTTGCAACCTGAGTCGCACTACCTTGATAGAGATCAGAGGGTTTACATGAGGACTGGGTCAGGTGGAGGAAAACAAGGCACTTCAGAATTACCCTCCACAGGGAGGGCAGCTTTGCTATGCCATAAACACCTCAGACAGAAATGCAACAGACTTCAGACATTACACAACATAAGTGTCCACTGGGTGGGGAGGTAGGGTTTGGGAACTATTCTCACATCAGTGCATGCAGCCGCAATAAGGAGTGCTCGTCACCTCCGTTTGGACAGAGGAAGGAGGTATTTGGGTTAGAGAGCACAGTGACTCCTGGAAACGATTCAGTGGCCTTTACGGGTCGCAGTCTCACCCAGGCTCGGATAGGGAGAAAGAGTTACCATGGCGATGGCAGCATTCCACATTTCTTCTGAGGGGGAGTAATCTATTCAGCCTAACAGGCTCAAGGGCTCCAGATTCAGATAAGAACTTGTTTTGGGGCCAGACAGAGATAATTTCCTCTCTGTCTTTAAGTTCTGTTGATCTCCAACCCCTCTGAATCCAATAATGGCATAAATTAATCTATCCCAATCCGTGCTGATTTGTCAACTCTATCCTTGATGGCATCAACCTTCTGTGCCAGAGTCTGAATCTCAGCCAAAGTTCCAAGCTTACGACTCATCTCGACAATTTTTTGAGTTTGTGCATTCACAACGCGGTGTAATCCATCCCTGAGCTCCGGGATTGAGCCAATATTCCTCGACAGCTCATTAATTTTCCAGTAAGCCAGGTAACCGCTCAGGCCAAACAGCACGAAACCTGACACCAACACCACAAATATCCAGACGTCTTCAGAATCCTCTACAGACAGTTGAGAGAGGCAGATCAGGTTCCACTGTTTCCAGGAGTCCATGACATGCCCAGCTGGCTCTGTCCCAGAGGGACATCCGGGAGCCCCTTCTCCTGTTCTCATTGTTGAAAAATTTTGTCAATCGCATTGAGAGACCAACTGACCAGGTCCATTTTAATAATTTCCAGTTTCTAGAAAAAATGCAGAAGCGCTGTACACCCAAAGACAGACAAAGAGCCTTGGGATAAGATGGGGAGGAGAGGAGGAAAAAAGCGTCTGAACTCTCCAAGAGCTGGAAGAAGATGTAATCTTGGCTAATTACGAACAATAGTTATTCTGTTCATTTAACTCGATGCAGCAGAGTTTTAAATAAAATGACTGTGCTACAAAAAACTATAAATTACCTTTTATTAGATTATTCTAACGTGTGCTTGTTTTGGCTGAGAAGTGACATAGTGCCCTAAGGATTCACACACACACACACACACACACGCCTAGATGTTTGCTTCACTGTAACGTAGTTGTTTGTGTGCCTGTGGGATTTTTGAAAAACGAGACATGTTTTGTCTATGTCAGCATGTGCTCAGACAGCATTTCCTTCTTGCAACCAGAACAGATGCCTGCTAGGGCCTTTTAAGTGTTGGAATGTGTCAAAAAGTGTGTGTGTGTGTGTGTGTGTGTGTGTGTGTGTGTGTGTGTGTGTGTGTGTGTGTGTGTGTGTGTGTGTGTGTGTGTGTGTGTGTGTGTGTGTGTGTCCATGTGCATGTGTGTTTGTAAGATTGTTTACCCATGCACTTCCTTTCCCATATTTCTGTATGCTCACATGTCTATATATCTATAGATATACATGCGTATGTGTGTGTGTGTGTGTGTGCGTGTGTGTGTGTGTGTGTGTGCCTCCACAGACAGTACACAGTGTATCTCAGACTTGAAAGGACAGAGAAAAAACAGCCTACTTCAATAGGAGCCAGTGGCGTGCTCTCAGTCACGATTTGTTGGTTTCCAAATCAAACACTATGATTTAATGAATTTCCTGCGCAGGACGCGGGGCGAGAGGCCTGTTTATTATTGTGATTGCACCGTGCATCCTGTGATGCTTTTTCTAATATCTGACACACACTCTATATGCAGCGTTCTCATGAGAAACGGCCCAACCCAAGAAATGTGGAGAGCTAGAAACCGAGTCAAGCCAAAACACGCGCAAGCGTTAAAGCAGTCGCTTGGCAAGTGAGCTGCTTATTGTGTGCCTGATGACCAAGTCAGAAAGGTTAAGTATTACCTGAGAGAGCGCCAGAGCTAGAGCAGTTTACATGAGTAATAGGAACATCTTCGGGGCTGGTAAATCTTCATGTTTGTGATCAAGTACACTGTAAGGCCAGAAACGTTGAATTTACTTAAGCAAGTAGCATCGACTGGTAAATATATTTGCGTGAATGTAAAGAGTAACTTAAATTTTAATATTAAAAGTAAACGTATGTTAGTATTTAGATTTAAGAAGCTGTGTTTATTGAAACAAGTTGACATTACTTGATTAAGTGAACTCAACGTTTCATTTCTTACAGTGTAGATGCTTTAGATTGTGTTTCCTACGAGTAATGTTTGGTGTACTAGAGCATCTTTAGACCTTAAGACATCAGATGAAATATGCAGATGGAAAAGACCAATAAAGGTCCCAAAAACCCAATTAAATAAAAACACGGAGGTATTGGTGCTGGGGTTGATCTAAATGTAACTGCAGCCTTTAAAAGAGGTATCTAATGTTTGATGTTCCTGCAGATTACATCTGATGTGTCTGGGTCCTCTGTAAAACTCTGTTCTGGTGCAGCTTATAATGTCTGTTCTCAGTTTTTTTTACTTGGATCAGTGGTTTTGGTTGGATCCTCACTCGGCCCTTGTTCTTTGCAGCCTGGCTGCACCACGAGCCTGACGCCATGCCGGAGGAGGCCCAGGGCCAGTGGGACAGGCTGGCCCAGACTGATGGGTGGCCTCTTTTGCCTCGGTCCCCGGTCTGCTCCTGGGTCCGGCCCTGGGAACTGCAACGCTCTTATCTGGCCCGAGCAGGAGGCGCGCTGGGCTTCCTGTGCAAAAATCAGAGCGCTTTTCCTCTCGTTGTTTGGCTTCCTCTCCGACGCGAGACACTTCCCAGCGGCGTGATTGTCCCTTCGTCTTCAAACGTGGCACAGTCCGCTTCCTCAAGAGCTTGATCTATTCTTGAGTGCACCACCCCCTCCCTCCACACACACACACACACACACAAACACACACTCCCCTGGACTCTGCTGCCCTCACATACCTCTTCCTTCACCAACTCTGCCCTCCGCACCTACAGAGGAACAACTCCCCATCACCTCCCACCACGGAGCTCGCCTCCTCCTCCAAAAACTCACTGCTTCTCCATGACATCCAGAACCCCTCAGTGATGATCCTGTGTCTGCTAAACTGTAAATCGGGGAAAGAAACTTGAGCACTGCTGAGCAGTGAGGATTAGGAGGCACAGGAAGCCAGGACATGTATACATATATATGATGATTATTTATTTAATGCCGCCCAGTTTTAGTCCTACCCCACCCCTATGCTTGTCGTATTTCACACTACGAGCCAGAACACACGCATCTTCCATCTATCCATTTCTGGAGCTGCTTTGCTTATTTTGTTTTTGTGTCCTAGAGTGGTACTATAACGGGTGCACGAACCGTGCCTGTCACACACCCCCACATGATTCTGGCATCCACTTTTTGTATACACATAAATTTAAAAAAAAAGAAAGCTGTGAGTTACTGTCTGGATTTTTAGCCACAAGTGTGAAGGATAAACGTGTTCATCATGCAAGGCCTTCAGTTCTCCATTAAAGACTCAAAAGGTCAGCAGAAGCCTACCATGTAGGACAGACCAGAGACATCCCATAATATTAAATGTCTTCTTTTTCTGTGTCAAACGATGTCAGCATAACGGCCCTGTTGTATTTGTATCAAACGTTCAATAAAACCTAAATGTATGTGTGATATTATCAGCCATTTTTAAGAGAATAGGTGTTCCGTTTGTTATTATTATTATTATTTTGGGTAAACCTGTCAGTGTGTGTGTACTTGTTGGTGTGCATGCATGTATCCCATTTTTACGGGTGTCTGCCAATGTGATTCCGTTTCTGTATACAGATGTTTAATGAGTAATATATAAATCTAATATTTAATAATTTTATATAACTAACTTGCATACACAAATGTCCACATTTGCCTGCGCTGTATGAATCTGTTGTTATGAAGTGTTATATCCTATGTTTGGGTTTTGTTGTGTTTTTTGCATTAAAGGTTGCTTGTACTTGTGTGTTTCATTCATCCTGGTTATTTTTGGGTAAAAGTGTATTTCAAGCAGAAGGAGAACAGACACTGATATATAAATTAGAGCAGTCCGATCGTATTTTCAGGCAGATGCTCACCTTGTTGGCAGGCACACACCGTATGAATGTGGATGAATGAACGCATGGTTTTCTGTGTCCACTCATCCATCCTACTAACTTTCCTGTGAGACAAAGCTTGTTTTTCCTGCTAAGCATTGTTTGTTTGCTTGTTTGTGACTAACTGGCGAGGATGTGGTTGCATACATGTACATATGTGCTGATCGTGTGTGTGTGTGTGTGTGTGTGTGTGTGTGTGTGTGTGTGTGTGTGTGTGTGTGTGTGTGTGTGTGTGTGTGTGTGTGTGTGAGAAACATATCGTGCACAGGGTGGGTCATTTGTGCGGTCACACACACACACACACACACCCTATCTGGATGCCAAGAGGAAGAGCAATCAGGGAGCAGAGTGGAGCCAAACTCAGGAGGGGCTCAGGACAGACAGACAAGAATGATGATGAGGAGAGGAGAGGGTCGGTGACACATCTCTAAACAGATCAGTGAGCAAAGTGGAAATGATAGATTACACTGAGGATGTCTAAGGCCTAGTCCACACGTAGCCGGGTTTTTTAAAAAAGAAAATCGGCCCCTCCAAAAACTTGCATCCACACCACCTCGTTTAAAAAAAAAACTCTGTCCACACGTACCCAGATAAATACGTTGTTAAGGACATGCCAGACCTGTAGGGGGCAGTACTTCCCCCATTCTTAACCTCGTCCTTCGTCTGTGGTCTTCCGCAAGGAGCAGTAATTCCGCTTGCAAAAACAAACAAGCAAAATGCGCTTGGACAATTGATAAAGCAAGCGCAGCTCTGAGGGCATCCATGCTGTCGGCTAGTGTAAACACAGGTCGCACACGTGATGTCAGCATTTTTTTGTCGCGGAAAGTGACGTTGCGGACCTTAAAACTCCGGTTTTGTCTGTCCACACGCAGACACCCAAAACGGAGAAAACGCAGATCTTCACTTTGGCCGGAGTTTTTAAAAAGATCCGTTTTCGTGTGAAAAAACTCCGTTTTCGTGTGGATGACAGGCCAAAACGTAGTAAAATATCTACGTTTTGGCAGATCCCCGGCTACGTGTGGACAGGGCCTAAATAAAAGACAGTGAATTATTTTCATAACCCTGCAGGATTCCTCTAAATTTATCTGCTTTTTGCTTTGACATTTTCCCGAAGAATATCCTGTAATGTTTATTTTAATTTAAATAAACACAAATATTATATATTTTTGTATATTACATCTCAAGGGGATTTTTGAACCTGGAACTATAGGTATGCTAAACATTTATTCTCAAATGTGTCTATTAGGTTGAAATTAGAGATTTTAGAGTCAAATATCATAAAATATCTACTCTGTAAAAACAAAATGTTAGATTTACTCTATCAGGTTAAACATTGTTATATGTTGTTATGTTAGAATTAAATGTACATTCTTTACATTTAAGCAACTAGTTGGCATAACTATAAGTAAATTCAACATTTTATTTCTTACAGTGTACAAATGACTACATATTAAAAATGATGAAGCTACTAAGGTTTCTATTTTAATGACTCGTGTAGTTGGACCCCGTATTCAAGTAAAATTCTGAAACTTTTGTGTTTGGTTTAGATAACACATTACTTTTTATCTTTTAAGTTTAAAAAATCCCTAAGAAATGTTTAATTCTCTTCAGCACCAATGGATAATTAAGTTATTAGTATAGAAGGTAACTAGCATAAAGCTAACTCTTAATGACTGAGTTATTGCTATGTGTAACATTTAAAAATATTATTTACTACAAAGCAGGACAGACGGGTATTTTTATAAAAATGTAAAAAAAAAATCATGTAAGACCTTCAAGCTCAGTTTTGTGTCAAACCCTTGTTTTATTTCAATATTTCATGTCAATTTCTCTTTTTCAATAACTTGAATAACGGAATAATTTGATTTTTGACTTAATCTGATGTAAAATTTTAGCATTAACATCAAATGAACTGTGAAAAAATAACAGTAATGTAATTTTTTATTTAACTCGTCATAAATGACATTTAGGGCTGCGCAGTGGCGCAGTGGTTAGAGCTGTTGCCTTGCAGCAAGAAGGTCCTGGGTTCGCTTCCCGGCCCGGGGTCTTTCTGCATGGAGTTTGCATGTTCTCCCTGTGCATGCGTGGGTTCTCTCCGGGTTCTCCGGCTTCCTCCCACAGTCCAAAAACATGACTGTTAGGTTAACCGGTCTGTCCAAATTGTCCTTAGGTGTGTGTGTGCATGATTGTTTGTCCTGTGTGTCTCTGTGTTGCCCTGCGATGGACTGGCTCTCTGTCCAGGGTGTACCCCGCCTGATTGCCCGTTGACTGCTGGAGATAGGCGCCAGCCCCCCCGCGACCCTACGTGGACTAAAAGGGTTCAGAAGATGGATGGATGGATGGATAAATGACATTTATTTTTTATGACTTTGTTCTGGTTTTTGCACTTAAACTTTAAAACAGGTCAAACTTTCTCCTTTAAATTATCCTATTTTATTATTTACCATATTTTGAACACTTTACTAATTAGATTAAGTAATTTAAACAAATTTCCTGGAACAATACAATTTTGAATTAGAAAATTTGTACTTTGTCTTATTATCTGTCATTTCTGTCAATATGTTCCTTACAATCTTTAAGCAACCATAATGTTCTTATTTTAATTTACAATGAAATTAAATAAAGACCACAATAGTCATGGGAATTATTTTATACACACACATATATCAGAAATATTTATATTTAAAACCTGTTCTTTGGTGCAGTTACTTACATTTTAATAATATGAAGATAAGTATAATTGTAAAGTTTACCAGTTAGTTATCATTTACCAAATACATTTTTAAAATATGTATTCTGAAAGAAATGTGGTTCTTCTAGCGACACAATAACTTTTCTTTCTTTCACGTTTATCAGCGGTAGAATCGTCTAATAATTAGGAATTTGTGACAAACGTTGCTGAGGTTCATCGTATTTTAATGACAATAACAAAAACAGCAACAATAATAATAATTTTGATTATTTTAATGATTAATTTTAACCATTTTAGAGCAGCAGCATCATGTTTATGTAGATTTGTTTTGGAGACTTTTTGAGGGATCTAATTCCCTGAATCACAAAAAAATCTAGCTAAAACTACACTGTAAGAAATGATATGTTGAATTTACTTAACCAAGATATATCACCTGGTTCCACTAAACCTAGTAGCTTAAATGTAAAGAATAATAAACATTTACTTAATGTAACAATGTCTAACAATGTGTTTCACACTTTACATCTAAGCAACTATTTAGTGGAACCTGTTCAGAGCCCCGCCAGCCAGGTTGATAGAAAAGGGTAGAATGCCTTCTCCAGGTCAGAGATGAGGTCCTGCTCCAAGTGGAGGAGTTTACGTATCTCGGGGTCTTGTTCACGAGTGAGGGAAAACTGGAGCACGAGATCGATAGGCGGATTGGTGCTGCATCTGCAGTGATGCGGGTGTTGTACCGGTCTGTCGTGGTGAAGAGAGAGCTGAGCCAGAAGGCGAAGCTTTCGATTTGCCAGTTGATCTACGTTTCTACCCTCACCTATGGTCTGGAGCTTTGGGTAGTGACCGAAAGAACGAGATCGCGGATGCAAGCAGCTGAAATGAGTTATCTCTGCAGGGAGGCTGTGCTCTTCCTTAGAGATAGTGTGAGAAGCTCAGTCATCTGGGAGGGGCTCAGAGTAGACCTGCGTCTCCTCCACATCGAGAGAAGCCAGTTGAGGTGGCTCAGGCATCTGATTAGAATGCCTCCTGGACGCCTCCCTGCTGAGGTTTTCCAGGCACGTCCAACTGGGAAGAGACCTAAAGGAAGACCCAGGACATGTTGGAGAGACTATGTCTCTCGGCTGCCCAGGGAACACCTTGAGATTTCCCTGGAAGAGATGGCCCAAGTGGCTGGGGAGAGGGAAGTCTGGACCTCTCGACTTGGACTGCTGCCCCCGCAACCTGACTCTGGATAAGCGGAAGAAAATGGATAGACGGTTGATAGACCGTGGAAAGGTAAATTCAACGTATAATTTTTATAGTGTACTTTTACTATAAGTCATGTGCTACTTTTACTCACTTTTATTTTAAACATCGATTAAATACATCCTAATTAATTCACAGAACTTTACTGGAAAACCCCTTGATTGTGGAGATAATACATCAAACGGTTTGTTCTTCATGCCTCTTCCCTTCCGTCTGTGTGACTTACTTTACGGTTTTCTCATCGGGTTTTGCGTAAAATGACCACAAGCTGTTTTTTGCGTAAGCTTTGGTTCCCACACGTCTCCTGGTGTGTAATCTATGGATTCAGTCTTGTGAGAGCCTTTGAGCGACAGGAACTCTTGTCCTGGAATTGTGGGATGATTTCTTAAGAATGGAAGGAAGCTAATTGACAGGATGCGAATGGCAGCACCCCGTATCCTTCTTTGCTGAACGGTCCAACATCATTCGCCGAACAGGGAAAGAGGACGTGGCGCCATTGATAAAAATGGTTTAGTGAATCACATCAAGCAGCAGCGATCAAGGCAATTCCCAGTGTTCTACCCCCCCACTGAGCACAGCTGAGAAAAATACGCCCACTCAAACACCTGGAATTATCATATCATGTCTTCTGTCAACACAGCTGAGCACATGTCCCAATTCTTCCCCTAAGGTGTGTGCGTCCAACATCCTCTTTGCTGTGGAGCTCTGTGATCGAGGGTCTCCCTGTTTCATCTGCATACAACCCAATTCAGAGTGTCACACACACACAGGAAGTCCTGCAGGGAAAAAGGAAGGTAGGTGGAAAACACTGAAGTTTAGACTTTTTAAACAAAACACTGGCAAATCTGTATTAACGAACAAGCTCTCCACAGACAGTAGGGGTTCTGACTGTTGCCAAGGCCTCAGTGTCTGGTGTTTACCGCTGCATCGCCTCCAACTCCTTAGGCGAAGATCATCTAGACATCCCCTTCTACGTCACAGGTGATTCAGACGAGAATGATTCGTGTTTTCTTTCCTGTCTGATAGTGAATGACAGGATTAAAGTTATTTTTGGTGATCCTTCTGATTTTTTTCCTTCATTGTCTTTCTGTGTAAAGGAAAATCTGATATTTTCATTCTTTTGAGAACAATGAAATTAACTTAATGCAGAATTTTTGCATCCTAATTGCATATGCATATGTAGAAACTCTGATTACACTCTAAAAATGAAATGTTGAATTTACTTATCCAAGTTATGTTGACAGGTTCCGCTAAACCTAGTTTCTGAATTGTTTCATGCATGTTGTTATGTTAAAAGTAAATGAATGTTATTCTGTACCTTTAAGAACTTGGGTTTAGTGGAACCACTTGACATAATGTGGGTAAAAGTGTATCGTCAGAAGACTGAAGTAAGCAACATCCTGTGGTCAAATTTGGTTACTGCAACCCATTTTCCAAACACACAGGTGATGTTGTCACTACCATTCAATGAGTTTCATGGCTTTTTCCATTTATGGCTCAGCACCAGAAGATTCTAGATGACGAGCAAAGACCAGTCAAACACAGTCAGTTGATAAGTAGATAAATACATTTCACTGTAATTCCCAGTTGTTTTTAACTAAAAGAGTAGCTTGAGACTTTTTAATGAGCCTCTAGACTTCTTTACTCGAAATTAAGGTTTAACAAAACAATGCTGTGGCTTCTTATGGGTAAAAGAAACAACTTTAGGGTCGCTACTGGTTTTGGCTAGTGTTGAATTACAAACACAGCGTTTGCTGGCACAGACATGGCAACCCTGCGGGCTCACAGGTTGTAAACAAAGACATCCAGCCATCTGAAAAGGAAATCTGTTTCAATGTAACCTTCCCTCCAACATGAGTCAGTGCGGTTACGTTCACACTGACCGATATCTAAACGGATCCAGGGTGATCTTATTGTAGTAAGCTGGGAGCCTTTATCCTAGTTTACATGCGCATTAAAAAGTAAGGCCATTCCACTCCGATACAGTAGGGGGCGACACGCCTCTTTTCATGTCAGCATCCTTCCGGTTAGCATATAGCAGGCATGGGGAACCCTAGTCCTCGAGGGCCGGTATCCTGCACGTCTTTGCTCCAACACTTCTGATTCAGTGGTTGATTCACATGTTCATCAGGCTCTGCGGAAGCCTGTTAATCACCTGCTGATTGAAATCAGGTGTGATGATGAAAAGCTGAAACTAAAATGTGCGGGATAGCGGCCCTCGATAGACCAGGTTTCCCCACCCCTGGCATATAGCAACACAAGCAATAAACAAAGGCTGGCGGGAGTGAAGCAGATGGAATTGGAACAAGATATACACAATGGTTGAAGTAATGTACAACAACAGTGCTGCAGCACAGCTTATTTGGTACGTACTGTCCTGTTTTATGGTGTTACGCGTGTTGCTATGTGTGACGGTGGTCTTGTGACAAGAAGCGTACTACCGGTTTAGTTCGGCTGACCCGTTTACATGCTGAATATGTTGGGATTGCTACCACATTATCTGGATGCTTCAGCTTGATTAGAACCAGTTCGCCTTCAGCCAGACTAACATGTTTACATGCAATTAAAAAAACAACGTGAGTCTTTTTAGGGCAATACTTCGGCTTTCTGGTGTGCATGTGAACACACTGGTTGAGACATTAGACTGTTGCGATGATTTGATTGTAAAATGTGTACATATTGTACCTTTAAGTTAAATCAACATTTCATTTCTTAGAGTGTACCATGCACTATTTGTGCAACAGGAAACCAGATTTGGGTCACAATCAATGCAAGTCATAATTTTGTTTTCGTGAATGTGCATCTGCCTGTGTGTCAGGCCACTGTTGAACTGGTTGTATGTGAGCAAGCGTGAAACAGGAACCAAGGCCTCTTATCGTTCCACTTCCTCGTGCAGCGCACTTCCTTGGTCTGGCAGCTCCGCTTTATTTTGGGAGGCCTTGGGGTGTTCGGTAAAGATAAACACTATCTGCCATCAGGAAACCCTCAAGCCGTTTCCACGGGAAGTTTCAAATGGCTAAAGTAAATAAAAGGCCTTTCCACTGTATTTCACTAGCCGTTGTTGCCCACAATAGCCATTCAACATTGACATCAAAGGTACGGAGAGTGGAGGATTGGTGGAATCCGTTCTACTGGTTTCAGGCTCCATGTCAAGAAACTTGGAAGGTCTGTTTGTCCCAAACAGGAGATCGGTGGAGTGTTGTGTGTTCCTTCCTCTCTAGATGTGCTCCTCAGTTCTTCCCCTTTTTCTCCATTTCCCTCAGACGTCCCTGGAGGTTTTAGCGTGAATCAATCAGAGGACGCCAGAGAGGGCGGAGACCTCAATCTCACCTGTTCAGCAAGCAGGTACCTTTACACGACGTTGTCATGGCAACGGGTTAACAGCACTGGGGAATCCCACACTACTGGCTTGAACATTCGTCAGTACTCTCTGGGGGAGTTCTCCAACTTCCTTGTCCTGTTGCTAAGCAACCTGACCACCGGTGACTCTGGAGCGTACAGATGCTCCGCCCACCACATCATCACCCAGCAAGAGACACACCTTGACACACAGGTGATGGTCACAAGTGAGTATTCTCAGATTTTATTTTTCCTCTACATCGTGAAAATAAATGTCACTGGCTTTATTATAATTATTTATTATTGATATTTTCATGTTGCTGAGTCATCACCACTTTTTTTTCCATTTTAAATTTCAACTCAGGCTTTTCTCTAGGTTTTCTTTTTTTTAATAAAAGAAGTATCACCTCAGATCCCCTTTTATGAGTAAAAATATGTTTTCAGCTAAACTTTTTTTTATGTAAGACTTAAAATACTTCCTGTGAGCTGATTACACTATAAGAAAAAATGTTGAATTAACTCAACCAAGTTATGTGAACTAGTTCTACAAAACCTAGCTGCTTAGATGCAAAAATGTATATCACTCTTAGCACTTAGGAAACTAGGTTTAGTGAAACCATTTAACATCACTTGGTTAGGTAATTTCTACATTTCATTTTTACAGTGTAATTAGAGGAAAATAAAGCTGAAATTAATGTTTATCTGCTCTAATTTTTGAGCATTTCTTTATTCCGCTTCCTCGTGTTTTTAAAAGAAACTCTTAAAGTTTTGTGTCAGCTTCACATCACATATGACTCGTGCAATATGAGACTACAAGAGACCACACTCCCACACACTGATCTCACCGCTTGGGAATCGGGTTCCCGTCGACTTCCTGGGGCCCCACCTGACTTTTTAGCTTTCGTGTTCTAGCTTAAGCACCTCTTTCACGTGGGAATGAGCTCCCGTGTGGAGGAAGAACACACAATGGCACTTCCCACAATGCCACATTTACAGGCCCCGCACAGAACTGGAGGAACAATCAGCCAATCAGACACTGTCAGGCCCCTCCGGCCCCTGCTGACAATCATCAATTGTTGTCCAGGAGGAAGACAAGGGAAACAACAATCAAGTAGTTGTGGTTAAGTGACTTTTCTTCATGTGTTTTACCGCTGTTCTACACAATCACAGCTCAACACGTCGGCTTCCTCCCCTACGACCCCGTAAGGGAATTACTAGAAAGAGAAAAGTATCTGGTGGGGGTGGAAGGAAAGGCACAGGGTTTGAGAGCATTCAGGAGTCAGTTATAGTATTCAAGAATCTGTGACTCGATGCTTTCTCTTTGCTCTGTGGAAAAAGGTTGGGGAAGATGATTAGTAGACAAGGAAATTACCCAAAAGAGCCCAGACCGTCGCTGCCCCCGGAGCACAGTTATTGTGCAAAAGTGGCACAGATCCAGAAAAAGAGTGGAAAGAAAATATCACAAGCTTCATTTCAACACCATTCTGTTCAATGCTATAAATAACTTGCACATTTTTTACAGTAAATGTGTCAGCAAAAAACGAAAGCGGAATAATATAGAAGAAAGTTTTTTAACGACCATTTTCTGAGTATCTTTCTTTACAAACCTGCAAATGCAGGATTCATACTGATGTTAATGGTATAACATTTGCATACAATTGAACAATAAATGATTGAATATTAGAATTGTTTGTTTTTCATAGTTTTTATGCCTAAATATGGTTAAAACATACATCGTAAGAAATGAAATGTTGATTTTACTTGCTTAAACGTAAGCGAGTAATATATATATTTATTTTTAAACATTGTTTAAAAATATATATTACGCTTTACTTTTGAGCAACTGGGTTTAATGCAACCAGTTGACATAACTTGGTTAATTTAATCCAAGTGTAATCACCAAGACTAATCTTCAACGATTTAGTCCCACATCGTGTTTATATTATGGACCACAACTATAAAGCTGAAAAACAAAATCAACTTCACGCTTAAACATCATCAAAATCTATCATCTATTTCTCTATGAAACCTGTTTTTATTTCAATTTGCCAAATTAGAAAAATATAAAAACAATCTTCAATAAAAAGTTGCGGATTTGAAGGTGCTGCTGAAAGCATGTTCGAGTGTCAGAAGAACGTTGTCTGTTTGAGTGCTGAGCCAAGTGCGTGCAGAGAATTGCTCGCTCATTTCTAAAGTTGCCAAATTTCCACCTTTAAATCCTCCTTTCAGTTCTGCAGCCTCCCGTGCTAATCAGCAACTTAACGGACCACACCGTCAACGTCAGCAGCTCGGTGACACTCAGCTGTCCATCTCGAGGTGTCCCGCCTCCAACTGTCACATGGTACAAAGATGAGCGTGCTCTGTTGCACGGATCAGGTAAATAAATATCCTAAAAGTATCATCTGCAGCCATCACTTGAGGTCTATAAGGTATTTGTCTCTGCTGCCATCAGGTGTTGTTATATCTGCAGCAGACGGGAGTCTCGTCATTGACAGAATCACGGCAGAAGACCAGGGTTTGTACACGTGTTTGGCCTCTAACGAGAGGGGATCTGCAGAGAGCTCGGCCTACATTTGGGTCCATGGTGAGTTCCTGCACGTCCTGAAGGTATAGAGCTCCCTATGTGATCATTTCTCATTGTGCATTGTTCCCCGACATGTAGTCTGGATGGACACACATGCAGTACAGTTTTTCACACTGTTGTCTTTAGTACATGCACACACACACACACACACACACACACACACACACACACACACACACACACAGGCACGGTGTGTCAGTTCTATTAATGGAAAATGATGAACGTCCATTTTTGAGTAAACACTGATCAAAGTAGGTCTTTACATAAATGCTCTCAGCCTTTTGTTCAATTTCCCTCACACACACACACACACACACACACACACACACACACACACACACACACACACACACACACACAAATCTGGGAGGTAAAGGAGGAGGAGTTCCCTGGAAGCAGTAGTGGCAGACTCACTTCCAAATCCAAGTTTGGAAAGAAATGTGTGCGTTTTGTTGTGTTCTGATGAGACGGGAAGGAAGCCGTCTCCCGTTTTTATTTCCTCCGGATGGGTCCGGCCTGCATCTTGGAGAGGCTCCGCTGTGCAGCAAACTGGTCATTTCTTTATCCTCCCATTAAAAATAAAAAACAACCAATTCGGGAGTTGGTGGGTGGAATAGATGGTGTGGGTTCAGGATCAGGGAGGGTGTGATTAAGCACCCGTGTGTCACTTATCGCTGGATTTGAAAAAGCTATTAAAGTTCAGCAGGTTTAAGCTCACCTGTGTGTGTGTGTGTGTGTGTGTGTGTGTGTGTGTGTGTGTGTGTGTGTGTGTGTGTGTGTGTGTGTGTGTGTGTGTGTGTGTGTGTGTGTGTGTGTGTGTGTGTGTGTGTGTGTGTGTGTGTGTGTGTGTGTGTGTGTGTGTGTGTGTGTGTGTGTGTGTGTGTGTTTACAGGTGCATCTGAGGTCTCATTCCTGGAAATTCCCACCATAACGTGTACCTGTGTGGTGGCCACGCTCTTCTGGCTCTTGCTGACTCTCCTCATTCGAAAATTAAAACAGGTGCCTGAAAAAAACAAAAAAATCTGACTCCTCAATCTAACAAAAACTCTTGCACTCTGTCAACATAAATAAAAAATTCATTTGCAGTGTGAAAATACATAAAAGAAAACTTAGAAAAAGCTCAAGAAACAGTATTATTTTTACTTTTTTGAATTAAGTTTCTAGTTTTGCACCAGTTTTAAGGAATGAACATGGGTTTTCTTTAATTTGATTAGGATTATTTGTTTTGTATAAAGATATGTATTCATTTTACAGGAAAAAAGATAACGTTTTTAGACCACAGGAGGTTCTAGACTAACATTTTGGGGGGTGGGGCTAGGGGGCCATTTGCTCTGCTAGATAGACCCGTTTATATAAAAAAAACTGCAAACATGCATTTAGGTATTTCAATTTTTAGTGATTAATTACAATATTACAATGATGTCAGTTCAGTTACAATAGCAAAATTCAATATTTTTTCAATATGTTTTACTTTGTGACAACATAAACCAAGCGGCTCGTTTTAATTTAAGATAAATGCATTAATGTGCTTTGGTCTCACAGCTTGCATTAAAACAGAAATCTGGAATTTTCCTCAAGCACACCATGTAGAAGTGATGAAATATTTCGCACTATTTCACGCCCAAAGCCCCTCCCCCTTCTTCAGTGATTATGGCTGGAAACAACATCTTTCATGACCAAGCACCTCTAAGCGGCCATCAGATCAAAAATCCTTTGTTATACAATTATTATTATCATGTAATATATATATATATATATATATATATATATATATATATATATATATATATATATATATATATATATATATATATCAGCGGGGAAGGGTGGGGGGCAGGCGCAGCTAAAGAAATAAACTGACATTTTGCCTACAACATATCACTTTTACGAATAAAAAAAATCCTACATAATTTCTTAAAGGGAGAAAATTCTAGATTGCTACTTTAAGTGAAGTTATCGCAAAATATGTAGGTGGGGTCCAGGGGGGGTCCAAGCTAGCTGTGAGGGTGGCACTAGCCCACCCTGGACTCTCCCTAGAACCGCTCCTGCTATAGGCTGTACAACCTGAAATATCAGATGTATTTCTGGCTTATTTTTTGTTTTTTGTTTTTTTGCAGAAGTCAGAATTTTACACTTGTTGTGATCATTTGATTATTTTCTGCGACGCACATTTAATTTATTCTGTTTTTTACGTTTTTCCAAGCCCAATGTTTCAGCCTCCAAACCAGAGTATCTGTCAATCGTGTTGAACACAGGAGAAGGGCCGATAGATGAGCAGTGTGAGCGGCTGCAGTACGACCCAAAGCAGTGGGAGTTCCCTCGGGAGCGCCTTAAATTAGGTACACTCCACTTAAATGGTTTAATTTTTACTTTTGTGGTTTTTGTTTTTTAGGCTGAGACTTTTGGGATCTCAGCGGTAGCTCAGTGAGGAGGAAGGTATTTAAGATCACATAAGTGATATCAGATTTTCTCATAGGTCTTATCTGGTGTTTATTGGGAGGGACTCTCATTCCATTAATCAGACTTTGTGTTGTCTGCACTGAGCTAATCAGCACCAGCATGGTGGGGGTTTAAACTATGTTTACTGGAAGCAATCAACTCCCATTATGACCAGGGTGGGATTCAGTTAGACTGACAGTCGATTAGTTCTGAAAACCTTCCTTCTATCAGCACCTCACATCTGGAATGGATGTGAATGATAATTAATTGACACACCTCTTCTTTCCGGGTCATTCCAAATCCCTTTCCCAGGAAAACTCCTTGGCCGTGGAGCATTTGGGAAAGTGATGCAGGCATCAGCATCCGGTATTGACGGCGCTTCCAGCTGCAGGACTGTGGCGGTGAAGATGCTCAAAGGTACTTAATGCACCCTTTTCTTGAAATCCTCATAAAATACCAATTCTCACAACCATTTATGTTGTTTGTTCTACTTTTGTCCACCAGATGGAGCCACAGCCATCGAGCACAAGGCTCTAATGACTGAACTGAAAATTCTCAACCACATTGGAAACCATCTGAATGTGGTCAACCTCCTGGGAGCCTGTACCAAGGCTGGAGGTGTGTGGTTTAGCTTTCATTAGCACGTTCATACAGTTGGTGCTTTCTCACTGAAGCTGTCTTTGCGCGTGCAGGGCCTCTGATGGTGATCGTTGAGTACTGTCGCTATGGAAACCTCTCGACTTTCCTGAAGAACAAAAGAGATGTTTATTTACACAACCAGGTGGGGTCCTTCTGAAAGCTACATCTCATCTTATATCATCATCTCATCTCATCTTGTGTGCTTGAGAAATCAACACAAACACCCTACTTTGGTGTGAGCAATTGTAAATTTCTACATGCGGAAACTCACTTCTGCAATCTGGTTACGGTTTGAACATGTTATCAGTCGTGGAGCAGGACGTTAACTTCCTTTATCGCTTCACAAGGTTTGCATGGAAATAAAAATCTTTTGACTATAAATTAAAGATTGTCAGTAAAACAATCGCTGCTTTACTCTGATATAAAATAACACACAGATTGTTTTATCCCCACATCAGAGTGATGGAGACTCAAACGAAGGGCTGAGTTGTGTCATAAGAACAGAGATTAGCGACAAAAACTCGAAACACACAGGTAAGAGGAGACCTCGGTGAACACGTTTTAACATCACACACAATCAAACTTTGATTTTCATTCTTCTAGATCCAAAGGCTGCCTACATCTCCCCTCTGTTCCTGGAAGACCTGATTTCCTTCAGCTTCCAGGTGGCCCGTGGGATGGAGTTTCTGGCCTCGCACAAGGTCCCCCGCCGTCCTCTTTTGCTCTTGTACTCACTTGTGTCTCTTTCATGTGTTCATTTGTGTTTCTCTGTGGGCCTCCATCAGTGCATTCACAGAGATCTGGCAGCAAGAAACATACTGTTGACTGATAACAAGGTGGTGAAGATCTGCGACTTTGGCCTGGCCAGAGATATCTACAGAGACCCGGACTACGTCCGCAAAGGAGACGTGAGGCACATCTGCTTTTGTTTCAAAATGAGAAATGACTCACATTGTCTGTAATGTGTTACAATGTTTATGATTATTTTTCTCTACGTTCTTGTTCAAAGTACTTTAGAAGTGAACAACTTGGGAGGTAATTATTTACTTTTCATCTGATTGGCTCACAGGCTCGTCTCCCTCTGAAGTGGATGTCTCCCGAGTCCATCTTTGATAAAGTGTTCACTACTCAGAGCGACGTGTGGTCGTATGGCATACTGTTGTGGGAGATCTTTTCTTTGGGTGAGAGACTGTGGCGGTAATATACTAACATTTTGTTTTATTTATTAACTTTTTATTTTATTTAAAGAGACAATGTGTAGTTTTTATTGTTCATCTCTGGACAAATCCATCAATATGTTGTTGAAAATGAATTAAACGCCCAGCTGTTGAAAAATATTGGCAGTGTTGTTACATATAACCATGAAAACCAGGTCTGAAATACATGGGAGCAGCTCTCAATGTCAAGGTGCCTGGCCTTGCGAGGCGAGGCCAGGCACCTTAGGACACTGTCCTGCCTTGGTCAAAGAAAACGGTTAAATGGAACAGACTTACATCACGTGACCAAGGCTTCCACGGGGGTCACGTAACATCATGTGACACTGCAGATAACGTTATATTTTATATGTATTAGTTTCAATATAAAAATATGACGAGCCTTTTACTTTTTAAATTGTGTATATAATTATTCAATTAAAAATAAAAGTGAGTTACTACCCGCTAGCCACTGAAGCTGCAACTACTAAGCAACTAACCAACAATAAATAACTTCTTTGGATCTAAAAAAAAAACATTTTAACTTAGTTGACTTACTTTTAAACTTGAAATTTGCCCCCGATGTAGCTGCCAGCTTCTGATCCGCAATCCTTTTGAAAATACAGCGGTGTATTCTGGGTAATTTTTGACCAAGGCTAGGCTACAAGACACCTCCCGTGTATCCTTGCTCAGCTAGCTAAATGGTTAACAAACGGAGAACACACGCCTCGGTAGAACATGAACATTGGAACACGTCTTGGCGGTTCCTGATGACATATTTCCTAGGCAACCAGGGCGGGGCCAAGACATCAAGGCGAGGTTCCTTGGCATTGAGAAACACCCTCAGTCTCTGGGCAATGCCAAGTTTCCTCCTACGGGAGTCTGTGAGGACAAAAAGCATTTACTGATTTGTAACATGCAGTTAGAAAAAACCTTTGCCATTCATTAACCCTCTCAGGGTCAAAATATGTTTTGATAAAAGGACGAACAACTAAGTCCTTCAGGGGTACTTCTGAGTTTAAAAATGCTCATGAAATACGTATGTGGAGTACAGGTAGGTAGGTTAACTGTTGCAAATCTGCAACACCTGCCTCCAGAGGGTTAACGTTGTTTTACACATTTACTTCTTCGCTCGTTGCGTGATGAAAGGGAGTCTAAACATTTTGCTGGAGGTCACACTCCCAGCGATTTTTTATCCTAATGGCCTTCCATTGGTAAGGTCTTCCTCGAACACAAAAATACTGCTTCCTTGCAATGACTTAGGTGTGTACTGCCCCTATCGCCAGGGAAAATACACATTGTCACTTTAACATAGAAGTATGAGCACTAGTTCATCAGTTTGTGTGTGTGTGTGTGTGTGTGTGTGTGTGTGTGTGTGTGTGTGTGTGTGTGTGTGTGTGTGTGTGTGTGTGTGTGTGTGTGTGTGTGTGTGTGTGTGTGTGTGTGTATGTTCTCAGACCCCCAGTGAATCACGAGAGACGGCTTTTGATACTAAACCAGGTTAAGGGGGAGTGTTCCTCTTCACTGTCGCTACATGCTTGTTTAATATGAGGGATTGCTGTAAAGTCACTGAACTGAATCGGCGCTGTAAAAATAAACTGAACTGAGTAATCGTGTTTTGTGAACCATCGTGTTGACCCAGTAGTACAGTATGTTACTGTGTGTGTCTGTCTAACAGGAGCCTCCCCGTATCCTGGTCTACACATAGATGAGGAGTTTTGTCACCGGCTAAAAAATGGAACGAGGATGCGAGCGCCTGAATACAGCACACCTGAAATGTGGGTTAACTTGTTTCCTTTAACTATTTTATACACATTAAAACTGGTTTTAGTAGTTTTTTGTTGTCATTGGGTATTTGAGTACAAGAAGCCACTCAGTAAAGCAGGTTTTCTGTAGCCAGCTGAGCAGTGGCTCATACTTCATAATCCTAAAATAGATTAAACCACAGCTGTCTGGGAGTTAACACTGCATATGATGCAGGTTTTCATAGATCTCCCATATCTATTTATGTTATCAAGCTGGATTTGTGAACACCTAATAAAATTTAGAAATCAAAGCTTTTAGGATCTTGTTTAACGCAATATTTATTTTGAGTTAAATAGTTACATATTTAATACTTAGTTAGATAACTAAATATTTAACTTGAAACTAAATAGTATCTTAAAATATTTAATTAGGAGCTAAATAATTAGTTTGTCAACTAAACTAAATTTAGGGGGTCAAAATAATTTTGAATTTGAAACAAATTATTTTGTATGTAAACTAAATATTTGTCTTTAGAACTGAATACTTAGTTTTCAACTAAATATTTAAGTTGCAAATCATTATTTAGTGTATTAAAATATTTAATTCAGAGTTAAATATTTAGTTTGCCAACTAATTTTTTTAAACAAAATATTTCGTATGTCAACTAAATATTTTATTCTGAGATAAATATTTATTTTTGCACCCATGACATTTATTTCTGAGCATTTTTTAAATTTGAAACAAAATAATTAGTATGCAAACTAAATATTTATTTTGGGGGTTAAAGATTTTGTGTCTAAACAAAATATTTCAATCCAATCTATATGTTTAGCATCAACGTAAATGTTTAGCTTGCTAAATGAATATTTACTTTAGAACTGAGACATTAATAAATGTATGAATGACATGGCAAAGCTATGACTTAGAAAAATTAACTTTTATTGTTTTTCTCTTGTGACATTGTACAAAACACAAAGTATTGCTGTAAAATTTTGACTTCGTAACGTGACAAACAGCACCCCATATCCAACACCCAGCTTCCAAGCCCATCTGTTGTGTGTTTTATGTACAGTTACAGCACAATGTTGGCGTGCTGGGAGGCAAATCCTTCAGATCGACCCACATTCACCAACTTAGTGGAGACACTGGGAGACCTCCTGCAAGCAGAGGTGCAGCAGGTCAGAGATTTAAAAGAATGGGCAAGCTTTTATCTAAATCATACATTTGTACACAATTTGGGGAAAAAATGCAAAAAAACTGAATTTTTGTCCCCAGCAGGATGGGAAGGACTATATTCCTCTGGGGTCGTTTAAGAATAGCGACATAAAGAAAGAAAACCCACTAGCTGTCACCAACCTAAGGTAAGAAAACGCAAGTTAAACGCAAACATTGAAGTAAGGTGAAAGACCCGTGTGGGGCCACTGGAAAGGAATTACAGCTTGAGAAAGCGGAGAGATGTCCAGCTTGCGTTGTAATCCTTACACCCATCTGTGCAGCTACATGAGGGGAATGGCCACGCTGCAGACTTTTGAAGAGCTGCCGTGCGAAGAGCTAACTGTTGCTGATGTGAGACAAATTTCTTCACATCTGCTTGCACACAAACACAAAAGAAGGTTTCAGAGCCCTCAGGGAAAATGATGCGTGTGGATTTTTCCAGGATGAGCTGAGCGACAGTGGGATGGTTCTTCCATCTGAGGAGCTGATGATGAAGACCCAAAACGAGAAACCCAGCAGGTCCTGACCCCTCGTAATCACAATAGTCCTGACTTTAACTATATAATGCAGATATGAAAACATGCGTGTTAAAAATGTGTTTTTATTCTGTTTTCCTCAGGTTTTTTTTCTTTTCCAAATCTCAAGACCACCTGGTCCCCTTCCTGAGTGATGATGTTGCAGATCTCCATGACGACAAGCCCACGATGCTGCCATGTGACTGGGAGTGTGATGATGGCATCTCTCCCCCTCCAGACTACAACTCCGCTTTCCTGTACCCATCTCTTTAGCTTCTGCTCTCTCCTCACCCTTTAGTAACTTGACACATTTATAATGCATCATTTTCAGTCCCTCTGCTGTTATCGTCTTCTACCTCGTTAGATCTTTCATCCAGAAGCTTTAGAGCAGAAGCAGAACGTGCGTTTTACTTTGTAAACTCGTGATGATGAAGTTTGGCCCTAGCTGACCTGTGCAGTGTGTGTAATCATTTTGGTACCTCCTGCTCAGAGCTTTGTGAAGAGGATCACTGCTGTATGACATAACTGTTCCTCTGACTATATGCTGGAAAAATTCTCTGAACTATTTTCAGGTTATAAAAGATATAGATCTGTATTTATTGGAAGTTTGTAGTCTAAATGTTTGCTTTTCATTGAATATTATCAAATGGGTTTAGTGCACTACACTAATAACAGTCGAACATCAGTAAAATCTCATTTATTACAGTTTCAGGAAGTGAGATAGTAAGAGAAACAAGGCAAGGGTTAAAGCCACACACCACCGCATTGCCTCCCTTTGCTCCAATCCTAGATGTTGCATGCATTACAAAATATTTCACACATAAGGATCAAAACTAAATTTCACATTTCTCATGGTTTTGGTAAAAGATGAAGATATTCAAGTCTAGCTTTCCTCATTGCAGGAGCTGATTTCTTACACATAGCCTGGTTTATTTAGATGTTTCAGTTTGATGCATGCACTGATTAGACTTGCAGTCTATGCTGGTTATATATTAATGCCTGTTTTATTCAGTTTCTGTGTACTGAAGACAATGGTAGAAAAAATAAACAGTAAATTAGATATTCAACACTAAATGATATAAAAGGTTGCACATTGATAATAAATGTGTTCACATATTGATTAAATATATAATGTAATTGTTTTTGCAAGAAACTTTGTAAAACTAATTATATTTTTTTTAAAAAAGGAAAAATTATCATGGGTCACTTTTTGGAACTGAGGTATTTTTTATGTCGTTTTATTTTGAAAGAGAACAAGGTTTGCCTTCCTTTCAGGGCAAAACATCTTATGTAGTTTTTAGAGCTCAAAACTGAATAAATATGCATTTTTCATTCCCAGGCTTCTTTTTAACTTTTATTTTTAACTTTGAGGGTTTTTTCCCCAGCTGAATAAAGTTTAAATAATTGGCATTATTTCAATAAAATCGTCCAATTGCAAAAAAAAAAAAAAAAAAAGACAACATAATTTTTCATTATTCTTTATTAAAATACTGCTGTACACACAAATATTGCAAAATCTGAGACAAGAACACAAGAGGGGCATAAAACATACTAAGATGGTGTTTTGGGTGTGTTGCTGTGAGGAATGGAGGTCATCTCTAATATTAGCTGGAGTGTGTGTGTGTGAGTGTGTTTGAGTGTAAGTGGAGGGGTTTCTAAAGCACCACATTCACCAGATTTGCCTCTTTCACTAAAACAGAGGAAGTATTACATGACCTATCACATCTCACTGCACACCTGCTCCCCCGTTTCAGCTTCCATGTTGGTTCCATGGCTGGATTCTGGTGTTTGTTTACAAACACCAGAATCCAGCTGTTGGCGAGCCTGGATCAGCATTTTTATGAGTTTTATTTGGGGGATTCTCTTCATTTTGAGCCAAATGAAAACAGATCTGTGCTTCAACATGATCTCCACAACGTTTAAAACGTTTTTTTTTCTTCCTTAAACCTCCATCTGAGCGCATCCATCGGCCCACATGAAGGGAGAAATGAGGGGCGGCCAATGACAGCCAAACACATTCAATCACTGGGCCCCTCCAGCTTTGTATTGTTGTCATCCTGAGAGAAATCCAAACTATCTGGGTGGGGGTGAACGCAGCAGCCAGCGCTGTCGCGTCTCCAGTCCGTTTCTGTTCCATGATCTTAAAAAGTCAAATAAAAAAAATTACATTGCGTCTCTTCCTGTCCTCGTCCATCTCCATTCCCTTCCTCTTCAAACCTAAAACCCCTGCTGGAATTGGTCCACAGATTAATTATAGAGCAGAAGTGGGGCAAAATCCATCTGGCCCCCACATCCTGCCGCTAAGAAAAGAGAGCAAAAGCAGCTGGTAAAAAGTCAAAAAGTATCACTTTTTCTCAAAAACAGAGCCCCGGGCTGGGAAATGAAGAGAAGGAGGGTAAGAGACAGGGACGGGGGACATTAGGGTGAGAAGACATGGAAGAGGGGGGACAAATTCAGGACATTCCACAAAGAGGCAGCTGTGGCTCCACCACTGATGAGTTGACCCGTTTGACGTCACAGCAGAGTCCTTTATGGTGGTGGCTGCATATGTAACACTCGGAGAAGACACCCCCACCCCCCAGTCTCGAGTCCAAGCTCCCCCAACCCCTGTGCCACTCACAAATATGAGCCTTCTGCACAAAAATATCAGGAATCCGTATTTTTCCAGTTTTACCCACCCTTCCACTGACCCGAGTGGTGTGTCCTCTCACCGCCAACAAGGCCCAGGTGAGCCGCGAGCCCTGAGTGGTGTATCCCGAGTGCGTTAGAACGAGAGGCGTGATCTCCAACCGGCAGAGAAACGTGGTCAACAAAAAGCTGGATTTCTTTTTTTATGTTGTTTTTCTTCCTTTAAATCATGAATCAGCTCTGGTATTTATGTCCTTGTGTGTGAATGAAGGACACACACACACACACACACACACACACACACACACACACACACACACACACACACACACACACACACACACACACACACACACACACACACACACACACACACACACACACACACACACACACACACACACACACACTTCCATAAAAATAACAAAGAATCTTGACAAAAATTAAAATCTTAGTGCATCCTCTTCAGAAAAATAAGCCCCGCCTGTAGAAATGAATAAAAGCCGGAAAAAAGTTCTAAACTTCTCGTTTTTGTTCCCCAAATTTAAAAAAAATGTTGTTTATCACAGCTTCCATTATAGTCTGTTTTCTTTCTTTTTGTTTTGTTTTCAATTTTCAGCCACAGGGTTTTGGGAAAACAAAACAAACAAACAAAATAAACCTGTTTAGAAAAGCCTCCCTGGTGGACAGGGGTCAGTGTATGTGACCGAAGTTCACGAAGCCCTGCCTCGCTGCCTTCGCTGTGCTGATGTTGTCATCGGGGAGCCTGGTCCTTCCTGTAGTGCAAGTGTGCGCTCCGAGGCTGGGCAGTCCCATCCTGGGCCCGAAGGGGGCGCTACAGAGAGCCAGCGGCGGCAGCCTGCAGCTCCTGGAAGGTACTGTCGAAGCAGCGCTTCAGGTCCGAGTAGGTAACAACCAGGACGCTTTTCTCATCCCGAGCAACCAGGCTGATCTTCTCAGGAACACCCGCGTCCAGCTAAAAACACAAAACCCCCATTAGGAAGTCAAGATGTAACAAACGGATTCAACGATTTTACTATTTGTACAAAAACAACCACTTTCAGAGGCAATCTGTGAACTCTTTAAACTTTAACTTTGCAGCAGGTTAAACGAATGAGTGAAAAAATACAAAATGTATTCTTTTAAAATAGTTCAGAGTGTTAAAAAAGAGGAAGAACAAGGTGTCAAAAAGGAAAAAAACTGCAAAGGAGAAGTCAAAACCACCGATTTTATCCTCGGATTAATTAATTTGGACCGCTGAGACTTCACTGACTTTGTTGAGACAGGAAACGATGTGACTGAGGTCGATCCAGGGCGTCCCCGCTTCAGTCACCTGGTGGAACAGGTGGTCGCGGAAAAGCTTCAACAGGTAGCGGTCTCCGGTCTCCGACCACGCCGGGTCCTTCTGAAACCTGGTTCAGAATACACAGTGATGAGCCAAGCGCGCACACGCACGCACACACACACACACACACACACACACACACACACACAAACACTGTTACTCACTCTGGTCGTTCGTTTATAGTACCCAGTTTGGTGAGCAGGCGGAAGAGACGACCATTTTGCACTTCCTGTATTAAAAGAACAAAGAAACAAACATATATTACAGAAAATACATGAGAACATTTATCTGATCATAAATGTGGAAACATTTAAAGAGACGTTCCACCCCAAAGTGAAATGAGTTTATTTCCACATTCCCCGGAGTTAGATAAGCGGGCAAAAGCTTTGTGTATGCAGCCCTGTTCTCCTCCTAATCTGGCTGTTTTCTGCTAGCTTTAGCGTAGCATAAACAATGGAAGTAAACGGTAACAGCTAGCATTTTGTGTAAAAAAGTTGTGATAATTACACAATTATGATCTTACTTTTTCTTGGTGACCTCAACAATCATATCGAATGGAAATGGAAATAAGTAACGCTGAGAAATTACAGGAGCCAATTTAGATTTGGAATTATTTTACAACAAAGCACCGCTGGAAGGCACAAAGACGCAACACAGCAGCCCCAAAACTCGCCGTTTACCGTCATTAGGTTTACTGGATAACATTTACAACGTTTCATCCTAATGACGGTAAACAGCGAGTGTTGGGGCTGCTGCGTCATGTCCTTGCGCCTTCCAGCGGTGCTTTGTAATAATCACTATATGAGATGGACAAACCCTCCGTGATGTCACCAGTAGGTTTCTGATGAGCTCAGCTGAAGCCCAGTAGGTGTTCCCATAATTTCTGCTGACAAGTTGGCATTTTTAACATGGGAGTCAATGGGAACTTGCTCTTTTCTGGAGCCAGCCCCGGTGGATGAGGGTGGAACTGCAATGTATATCAGTTGGCCTCTATTTCGGATGACAAACGCTTCCTCCTTGTTAGAAAAGAGGCAGAAATGATGCATTCAGCTCTGAACACACTTGTGTACATCTACTAGTTCAAAAATAAACAGGGTGATGAGGCAAAGCAAGTCCATCTTAGGTAATCTAAGGCCACCCTGGAGGGCAACATAAAGGCTAACCTCGGGACGTTAGGGTTTTAAATCCAAATGGGAAAGTCTCAACAGGTTATAGCTCACCTTCATCTGAGGGAATAATTTAGTCCTGCATCTGCAGTTTCTTCATCTCTCACTCACATCTTCCTCTCTCTCTTTCTGCCTGCCTCACTTACATCCCAGACTTGCAGACTACAAGACCAAAAGTGCATTCAAATAATGAAAGTGCATTTATTTGGATGATCACAGTATAGGGAGACAGTTCATTAACACACAGAGATGGGCGGAGCCTGGATTCAATCCACTGAATACAGAGCGAACTCAGAACCCCTGAGCCACCGTCGAGCCTGCCCTTCTGCTCCTGATGGAAAAAGTTTTGTTTCTCTGGGTCAAAGAGTCGGCGTCATGTTACCGATGTAAACCCCTCACAACATATCTGATGCAGGTCGATGAAAATTTGTATCATCAGGACCCTGATGTGACCCTTGAGATCCGATCAGAACATTTCTAATTGTCCACGCGAGGCTTGTTTATGCTTTCACAGGTTCCGGGTAATTTTACCGGACTTTTGCGACATGTGCATGCCTCTATTTCACCGGGCTGTCCCGGTCAAACCTGCAGGAAATGTCCTGGAACCAGACTGCAGCACCAGGTATGTCAGCTCCATTTTTCTAAGTCCCAACAGAGTGGTCCTCCAGTCTGAAGTTGCAAGTGTAATAAACTGGTCGCAGGTGGCAAAAAGGGATGGGGTGGTCTTTCAAAACCTGTACAAGGTTGTTTTAGCAAATACTGGCTCAAGAAAATTATTACAAATATGAAAAAGTTGTTAAGTATCCCTTTAATGCACAGCTGTAGATGAAATCTTCCTCATGGTGTTCACATGTTCATAAAGATAATAAGCAGCAACGATTTTATATGTACTTGGTAACCAAATAAACAGCCCTCCCTCATAAGCTAAGCGGAGGTCACACATTTAGCAGCCACAAAGCAGAAACGATACAATAAAGAGGAAGCTGCACACCAGCGCAGCAGAACAACGCTTTAGATTAATCTCCTTTTGATCATTCAGCCCATGTTCCTTCTTACGCCCCTATGAACCAAAATAGGCTTGTCATCTTGTAAAGCGAAAAACAGAAGCCGTATGTATCGGATGGAGGTCAGAAAAAACTGTTTCCTTATTGATTCAAGGGTGAAAGAGGAAGCTGACACACACAAAAAGGTGATGGTACCAGCTCGATCAAGTCATTTCACACATTTGCACTCCTACATGGTGATTCTAATTTCCGGATCAGTTTGCAGACCCTACTGCACCACATCCTGTAAACACTGAACTTCCCCATCAGCTGAAGATCATTCCTGCAGAGCATCCCAATGCGCCGCCATGAGCTCACAGGTAAACAACGCGCGTCAACACCTGGTTGCTGCAGGCGCCAAGCGGACACAAAAGGTTACCTTGGCAAGGTCCTCTTCAATGACATCATTCCTCATCTGTGACGCATCTAGTTGCGTGTAGAACCGGGCTCCAATCATGGGCATGATATCATTGACGCTGCGTAGGCGAGACTGATCAGTCAGTAGGTACCTGCATAAAAACAGGAAGTGAAAACTGAGACTGCAGAATAAACACAAACTATAAACCAAATAACTTAGAAAATGTCTTCTAAGTTATTTGTAGAACGTAGTTGGCCAACTGCAAGCGGCGCGTAACGCAACAGAGCATTTTACCCGTGAGCCTCGTTCGCAGCGGGATCGTTTCAGACGCAGCTGGTCCTGCTAGGACGCAAAATAAACCGATATGCAACACCACACGTAAGCAACACATTCCAAATGTGGCGTTTCGCAGCCGGGAGAAATGCATTGACTGTAACAGTCATTAAATGCTGCGTACAACGCTTCACAGACATTAGGTCGCTCATACGGGCCCGAAGGAAAGGCCCGGTAGCTGCAAGCTCAAACACGCTTTGGGGGGGCGGCCTGGACTGGACCACAAGCTGATGTCTGGGCCGATGTCCACAGATGAGTGTGGAAGAGGATGAGGACAAGGACTAGATACATGGATCTATTGGCATTTGTTCAAAGTCGTTCCTTGGTATTCCCACGACATCCTAGAACCAAAGTGCTCCACCATTCTTTGTCCTCTCGTCCAACAAGGATGTTATAAGTACCTTGGGCTATCATTAACAATAGTTTGGGCGAGTGTAAGCACTTGCTTGTGCCAGTGTGTTCTGCGGTTAGCATTACCACGACCAATACTGACCAAGTTCAAGTGGGTTGGGAGCTTGCATCTTCCTCTAGTCATTAAACGTGATCCAGTGAAACGTGTCAAACATGATTTAGGAAATCTTGTTTGAGGAACCAAGTTCAGATCGTTGCATGATCTGGTGGTTTTTGGTGTTTTCATTTTTCTTTTAATATATTTAAACAACTTTTTTTCTCCCTGGCTATTAAAGGAGTAGTTGACTCATTTAATAATAGTAGGAATTAATGCCTTGTAAGTCGCACTCTGGGGAAAAGATATACCGGTGCACCATTTCTAAGAACTAGAAGTGAGCCACATCACAGCTGAGCTTCAGAAGACAGGTTTTGGAGACTTATTTCCTAATATCTGGACATCTCGCCTCTGACTGGATAACAGCAATAAGACTCAACCACTAAGTTTGCTCTGCGGTGTTGATTTTTTATCTCCACAAATAACACAAGCCAAGAGGAGCTGCTGCTGTGCGGTGGAGTTGCTAATGTTAATGGTTAGCTTAAACTAGTCGAGACGTTTTCTGCTGTGTCGTGGACGCTTAACTAACAGCAGCCATCCCCGTTGTGACTTAAGATGGGTGAGTCCATGAATGTTAAGTGACAGTGTGACATGGCTCTGTCAGGCTAATCAGATCCTAGCGTTCCACCGTCTGTTTTCTCTCAGAAGCTGATGCAGGAGATGGGTGTAGGAGACTACTTTCATGTCCAGCCTGCATGAAAAACTCAGAGTGATTATAATCAGTAGGGCTGCACAATATATCGTAAATATATCGTTATCGCGATATCAGCAAGCACAATATGCATATCGCAAAGAACAGATAAATATCGCAATGAATGGTCGGCTCAAATGTTTGCTACACATGATGCACTCTGCCAATCAAATGAAAGCATGATGTTTTTTGAACAAATCAAATAGAGCTCTTCGCCCGTTTGGCCAAATGGGTGGGTTCTCATAGGTCAGATGCCCGCCCCCGAGGCGGACGGCACTTCATTTTGATGGTTAGCAAACACCTGAGTTAGCTTTGTTCTGCTCTTTTTGCCGATTCTGCTTTTCTCGAGATCCACTGATCGCCCTTTCTTGTTCATTTTCTTTTTCCCTTTCCTCACATTTTTAGCTTTTCTCATTTTTATAATTTTTTATGTCGTTTTTAATTATTTTTAACCCTGAGTTAAGTTTTTTATTCATCATGTTATGTCGTCATCGCAATATTAATCATTGCTATCGAGTATCGCAGGTTTTCCTAATATCGTTCAGCCCTAATAATCAGAAATTTTGATTCAGCAATTTTCAGTTTTTTTTTTTTTTTTTTTTTAGATCTGGTTCATTTGCATTCGTATCTAAAGAAATTTTTTTAATTTGTCCAAAACCAACAACACACAAGGCCTAAAAACGATACAGGGTTCCTACAGGTTTCATCAAGTTAAATTCAAGACTTTTAAAGACTTTCAAGACAACTTATGTAAAATTTTATACCTATTTCACGACCCTACAGGCAAAAAAAATCCTTGAACTTGCTTTCATTTATTTATCTTTTTTTAAATTATACTTTGCCAAAACACTCAGTAGAGAACAGTAGCAGAGCGGTTTGAGCTATCACCGAAAGGCTAGCTAGGTAACGTAAAACACATGTTTAAAATATTACAGTGTCTGTAGGGCTGGGTACCAGTAGATATTTCTTGATACTACTACTTTAACCTGGTTTTTGATGGCGGTACCTTAACGATACTTTTGTTGAAATCTATATTTTTTAAGAGAGGATAACAAACTACTTTTGGTTTTGTTCTTTTTGTTTATATTATGTTATATTTATTTACATTATACTTTATTTTAAAATTTTCCTATGCAAAAACAGAGCTAAGCTACAGAGCAAAAGTCACAAAATGTAAATATCTGTAAAAAAAATATCCTTTATTAATGCTTCACTTCATGTCAGTTACAGCAGTAACAACAACTCTGCTGAACTGCATTTATAATGCTGGTAAACAGCAAGTAAGTCTGCAGGGCTGCAGGTTTTTGTCCTATTTCTGCTTTTATCAGCCTCCATCCTCAGACTCCTCCAGTGTTTTGGACGGTGACAAACTCGGGTTTACTTTTTTGCACTAAAAGACTTCCCATGTTTCAGCTCTCAGGATGATGCGCCGCACGATGAGATGCTTTGTTAAATTGCTGCTATTCCTGATTTTCACAGCTGGTTTTGCATTTTGCTGCCGCTTACTTTTGCAAAATGCACCCAAACTTTAAGAGTTTTTTTTTTTTTTTTTTTTTTTTTTTGCATTTTCAATCACGGACTGCAGAGAAGTGTTGTTGAAAGGAGACGCGTCCCCTCCACTCTGGATCAGTCAAGTGACCCGCGGTGGCACATTGAGACATTTTAATACTTTTATTTCTGACATCAGTCCCAAAAAGGTCCAGATTTCTGGTACCCAGCCCTAGACGCCAGTCACCCTTACTCATGGTCTGCTGAGATTGCACGCGTTTCTCCTCTGCTGGAGGTCTGTGTGGTCTGTTATGTTTACAGTTTTGTAGCACCGCTGTAACGCGGGAGCCCAATACGTCACGCATTTGGCGTATTTAGACCAGAGACTGCGCTGCGTTTTCAATGACTGGTTCCGCTACTCTTTATTTATGCTAGGGCTGCTCAATTAATTGAATTTTAATCACGATTACGATCTGAGTTTTGAACGATTATAAAAACAAAACAAGCCGATTATTTGCTCCTCTCACTTGCGCTGCCCTGAGTTGCAAATGAAGCGCTCCTCCCACAGTGTGGCCAACTTAGCGACTTTGACGCTATTTCTAGCAGTTTTTCAGACCCCCTTCTTGACTTTTTAAATCTTAAAAGTACCTAGTGAACATCTCAGAAACATCTCTGGTAACCCTTAGCTACTTTCTGGATAACTGTTGTTGACATTTCCTGCAGGTTAGCTAAACACTCTGCCTGCGCTCCGGACCGTTCTTCAGGACATTAGGAAAGGGAATGATGCAGTGATGTGTCAGTCGCTAAAGAAACGGCTTTCGGAGTCTGCGCTGTTGGATTAACCAGAGTGAGTGACACACACACCGCACCTGCAGACTCCTGAGCCACTAAAAACGGCGAAATGTGCGCATGCGGCGTGCTAAACACACGTGCAGCTTGCCCCGATTGCTGAGACCGGGTTGGGGGGTGGGGGGGTGCAGCTGTGGTTGGGACAATTATTACATTAACTGATGGACCTGTAAATAAATAGTTTATAAATAAGGTAGAAATAAGTTCCTCACGCTGATAAATAACTAATCTCTCTGAGGACACGGTGCTAGTGCACTCTCCTACAGCACCTTGACACGACTCAATAAATGTTATGCAACATTTTGTGAACATCAATTTATTTGCACTTATTTGTTATAAATGCCACTGTATAATTCTTGCTGTCAGTATTTGCAAGATATTGGTATTTGGGTCTGTACTGGTTAGACTTACATGAGTTAAACCAAGGACTATAGCCCTTGGGTCATAGACTATGAGCTATAAGTATATTGGTTTTTTTATACTGGGAATCAGGAGTTATTTTAGTGATCATCTTGTTTCTTGATTTTGTCCTGATTGTGCCCTGAGCAATTTTATGACTGAATAAAAACAAATAAAATCAACATAATTTGAAAAATCGTCCTAAATGATCGTGATCTCAATTTCAGTCACCATAATCGTGATTATTATTTTTGCCATAATCGAGCAGCCCTAATTTATGTTACGTTGTTTAATAAAAAATTATTGTGGTTGACAATGAAACCTTAGAGGACAAATACAGTACGGAGAATCTACATACAAATTTTGTGACCCAGTTGTCAAAATTCAAGACTTTTTAAGGAATTATTGCTAAATTCAATGCTTTTAAGACTTTTTAAGACCCCGCAGGAACCCTGGGATACAACGTGTTCAAGTTTTTGCGTATTAAAAGAACTTTTAGCTAAATTAATTTTTTCTTAGTTTGTTTTGATTGTGGTGGCTTGAACTGTGTGCCTTGTGGCACACTGTGTCCGTCATCACCATGTTCCTCTTACAGAATAAGGTTCTTGAGGTCTGAAGAGTAGTTGATAGACACCAGCTCCATGGCCTTCTGCAGGTTTTCCCTTTGAATCCCAGCCAGCGAATTACAGGCCAAAGCCAGCACCACCTTGCCCAGCGACACCAGATCTGCTTGCTGTGAGACAAAAACACACAGATATTATTAAAAGGCGAAGAGCTCAACCAGAGCTGCTCATCACCTGAGGTAAATGAGGTTTGGGTCAAGCTAGATTTAGGCGTTTGTTTGCAAAGCTTCTCACATGTTTGACAAACTTGCTAAAGTACCTGGTACTGTGGCATCATGGCAAGATGATTGGTCTGAGTGTTGTCAAACGTTAAGACATCAAACACCCCAACGCAGTTGACCCGTAACCTTTAAGAGATCAGACGCCTCAGAAGTGTCCCAAAACACAGTTGAGCAAAAAGAGGAAGCCTGGACTCAAAAGGTGCTTCTTCTTTTCATACATTTTCTTTAACAGGAAGTTCTGAGTACACGCTGAAGAAGAACATAAGCCATGTACGGCTATGAGTGACCCTTCTGCTAGGGTGTCTGTACCTGGTCTTGCCAGTGATGAGAATCTTGCTGGGGTCCATGACCCGGCAGGCCAGACCGGCGGTGTGGATGGAGCGCAGGGCCGAGCTGAGCTGAACGATGTAGGCCCAGATCAGAGACTCCGGCAGCAGACCTGCGTGCTGCCGCGGTGGCGGAGGTTCGTGTTGGCCTTGAAAAGAAAAGCGCTTCATCACTCAAATAGCAGACATTAACAAACCTCAAACCACCAGCTTCCTCTGCTTTTTACAGTCAGCAGAAAACACTTTTAATCAGTTTATCTTTACAGAATTGTGTTAGAAAAACACTTAATCCTTCAGGTATCCTCAAAAAATCACCTCACTCTCAGGTATGATCAAGAGATGTGTGAGAAAAAGCAGCTGATGTTACCAAAAGTTATGTTTACCTTCTCTTAGCGAGTGTCGGGGCGTGTGCGCCACAATTGAAGATTACTACCACAACTCTTTGTTCCTGAAAACTTATTTCTAAGCTTTTTGCTCCAAACACAAGTCTGCAAACATAAAGGTTGTTTTCTATGGGCTTCGCTGGCTTTGCTTCCCCAGTTTGTCGCTCCTGTAGGCTGGTTACACACCAGCACCTGCTCTAGGATCGGTTTCAGCCACAGTTTCCGCCCAAATGCCCCAGTTTCTGTCACAAAGACAAATCTAAACTCCAAGCAGTTCCTCCACACTTGGTTTAGATCCTTAAACGAGTCATTCTTAAAACTCCAAACAGCTATTTTGTTTCTTAAACCAGACATAAGAGTTTGACGTGAGCTCAACCAAATAGAAACGAGACATTTCATTATGACCTCATGTGGAGAGGTGCGATGCTGGTTCTATTTTAGAGGAGGAGAAGGAAGAGACAACAAACTCACCCCACTTCCTTTTGGTAAAATATGAATCTGCTGCAGGGTCATTAAAATGTCTGCTGAACATCGTTTCTGCACCAGCATGGAAATCGTAAGAGAAGACCAACGCTGGGGAGGAAAGAGAAAACAAAACGTTACGCCGGTGCAGCTGTTTCGATCGTATTAACGCAGAATGTTTGACTGGAAGGACGCTGCCGGGTTTAATAAACTAGCTTCACGGATCGGAGTTGAGACTCACAGTGGTCTCCGAAGGCCTTAGTGGTGAAGACCTCTCTAAGCGTTACTGCGTTGGAGTGCTGAATCTTCTTCCACATGTCCACCAGCATCATGCACTTTGTGTTTACAAGGCGAAACCCTGGCAACCAAACATAAAGGAGCAAATTAGCACGTTTTTCTTACTAAATCTGCATCCTGAGATGCATCCGGGTTTGCAAATGCAACTCTGGGTTTGTTCTAAGAAAACCTGCAACAGTTTGGACACTTCCTCAAAACAAACATTAGATGTAGATGAACTGGAGGACTTGTCTCATGGCATTACCGTGTATCCTCCTCAGGCAGTAAGACAGGTCGTCCTTGCTGTTGACCGCCTTGTAGCAGGAGGTGATGTAGCTGAAGTTGCTGGTCTTCTGCATGCGGTTTGGTGGGGGGAGGGGCTCCAGGGGGAACAGGCTGTGGTAGCTGTCCACTTCAGACGGTACATCTGACAGAAAAGGTTTAAAAACACACACACATCTCTATCAAATCGACTAAAATCAATTCTACAGACAGCATTTGGCCATCAAAGCCTCGTTTAGATGTAGATACAGATAATTAGTGCACAGGTGAGGCTTTACCTGGGTTCTCCGAGTGGTCGATTTGGGCCATGGTTATCAGGTGTCTGTTGATCAACTCCTACCGGACAAAAACAGGAAGCAGATCAGATGTTTCCTTCATACAGGAGGAGACGGGGGAGGATAACTGACCTGTCTGAGCTCATCAGCCATGAAGAACGACGGGGCGTTGGCTTTTGGCTGCATGTACGCAACGTGAGGGGCAGTGGGGGGGTAGATATGGAAGGTGGGAAACACCTGCAATGAAACCAAGAACAAGAAACGGCTTCATATTTACAGAGAAATGAAAACAAAGGTGTTAATAAGAGGAAACAAAAGTCCTGATGAAGATCTTAATCAGGTGTTGGGTTGTTTATATTTGAATATTTGGTTGAAACACAGAGAAAAGTGTTTTGGTGTGTTTTTACTGGTTTACACACCATCCCGGCCATGGGAACCGGCGTGTTGTCTGTGTAGAAGTAAGTCGTCCCTCCTACAGTCTCCTTCTGGATGATGTGTGCGCCCTGGTCGGACGCTGTGGTGGGCACCATGTAGTTGGCAGGGTTGGGGGTGTGGCTGCGCCGGCGGGGGGCCGGCGAGGTGTGAGGTGTGATTTTAGGAGAGTGGAGAGGAGAGGATCCAGCAGAAAGAGACATGCCTAAAAACAAAGTCAAACCCTACTAATCGCTGGAGTCAAATGGAAATGTTGTTAAATAATAAGTTAGAAAAATAAATCATACCTGGAGCTAGAGCAGCAGCCGTGGAGCCCCCGAGAGCAAAGAGGGGAGAGGGGAAGGCCTGGACAGCAGACTGGGCCATGGTGGCCATTCGAGGAGCTCCTTTAGGGATGAACTCGCTCGCAGTCGGGTTAGGAGCCTGTGAGCAGACGCAAAGAATTAAAACAACTAAAAAAGCCTTCATGTCACAAATAAGCTGTCCGTCTGCTCACCTTTCTCCTTTGGGAAATGCTAAGAGCACCAAAATCGCTGAACAGTGAAGATGTCGGGGAGTTCACTGGATCTGTAAAAGAGTGACGAGTTGAAAAGAGGCGTTTTGAGTCATCAGGACGATCAGTGTGGTCCTCCGTGGCTCTCTGAGGGAGTCTTACCACGAGCGCTGTGGCTGTAATTCTTGGCACCATCATTGAGAAGACTGGGAGAGCTGCTGCTGGTTGTCATTCGCTACAAACAACAACAATAACATAATAACTGCCCCAAAAACAACTGTTTTTCTATTATAAAACATGCAATAAAGGCCTCTCTCTCAACCAGAAAACCAATACATGTTTTCAAAATCGACTAAAGAAACATTTTCCTTCTGTTAACTAGAAGCAAACTCACCTCGGGTCACACAACATGTAATTTATTTCCCAAAAGCCACATGTAAACTCACATTTTTCCTTTAGAAAGCTTTAAAATGTACAAACCTACGCACAAAAACAAGGAGCATTTGTTACAGTCATGCTAAAAACCTCTCTGCACCTTTTTTGTTGTTATTATATCAAGACATAATAAAATCATCATCTAGTCATTCTCTGGGTTTTAAATGTTGTAAATAAAACTTTAAACAACACGTGACAACCGCATCATTGTTTACTAAACAAAAACCAATATGCAGAACCAGTGTGAGAAACGCTGAGCTGATGATTTAACTCGTGATCTTCATTAGAGGCATTCATTTGTACTAAAGACCACTGCAAATGCAGTGTTTCCCTTACATAGGCGTAGCCGTGGCGGGCTGAAATCCCAGCGCCACGCCTACAAGATCCCAAGTTTTATTGATTTTTTTTTTCTTTCATTGCACCATTTCCCGAAGAAGCAGGGGGAACTACTCTGTTGTCGCTTGTGATCACAGCCGGCAGGCAGCGAGGAGGAGGAGGCAGGGCAGTTACAGCTAGGGAGGATAAAGTATTTTTGACGAATACGAGCATGAAACGAGTAAAACTCCTAAATATCTGTAATCGTGCTGAAGGAAAATCCTCATTGGGTAACTGACTGTCATCACGCTCCGTGATTGGTCAGTCACAGAGCGCCCGCCCCTTCCTAAACACAAAACTCTGCAGCCGGGAGCTCAGCCCGGCCCAGGCACCCACGCGCACACACAGACAGTAACGGCTCTCTCTGTGCTTGCTTCACTGTTGCTCATGTTTCTTCAGTGCTCCCTACGTTTTCTTCAGCTCGCCTCTTTTTCAGTTTAATATTTAAAGTAACTGTTTTCGTAACGTACGTGGTGCATTTGACAAGACGGAGCTGAAAACGGCTCGTGCATGCGTCGGTCACTGCCTCCGCTCCAGTCGAGTTTTTTTTTTATTTTTATTATTTTAACTCTCTCTCTCTCTCCCTCTCTATCTCTCTCTCTCTCACACACACACACACACCTTAATCAACATTGTTTTGTTTAACTGTGTGTGGGAAAAATGCCAACAACGTTAGGAAAAAAATCCGTGTAATCAAATTAAAATAAAAAATAATTAAAAAGTTGTGTCTGGTTCTAGTATTTCATATTTCCTAGTTCCTACTGCATGAGTTCAGATGTATTAATCCATGCACTTAAATATTAATGTTCTGATTTTATTGAAAAACTTGTTCTGTAAGATTTCCTTTACTATTGTGATCAAAACTATTTAATCTCAGTTCTGAGGCTGCTCTGTAAATAGTTTTCAAATAAACAATAGTTTATAAATAAACTACTTCTGATCACTCCATATCAATTTCAGATTTAAAATAATGTATTGATGTAAGCCACACCCACTAATTTCCAAATAATAAATAAGAGGTGCATTCATCTGTGTATCTCCTTTGATCCGCATTAGTGATGTTTTCAGCACCAGAACAGTGAAGCAAAGAAGCTGATTCCTGAGTTTATGTTAGTAATTTTATTTATTAGGTGCATCTAACCTGTTCTATTTTTCTCTGAAATGAGATTAAATCAGTGCTTCTATGGGTTGTCTCCAATCTGCACAAGAAAAATGTACTTTATTATAATGTTCACTGTAATGCATCTTGATGCTCTTAACAAATAAATTAAATCAAAGATATTGGTCAATAATGTAAATTTGTGTTTCAGTCATTTTTATACTGGCTTAAAAATACTTCATTAAGTCTACTAAGCAGGGGTGTAGAATGTTTTTAATAGGGCCAGTCCAGTAATGATCTTGGACCAAAATAAAGGGGCAAAAGGAGATGTTTTTCTAGACGCCAAGAAAAGTTAAATGCCAAATCCCTCCTGCAAAGTGTGTCACTGAGTCTCAGTGACTGAGAGTTTAAAACAAAAATTATTCTTGTGCAAATATTGGTGTATTCACCTTTAAAACTAGTTATTAAAATGCAGCAGCTGCTGGATTGGTGCAGTTCAAAGTGGAGTGCATCAAATAAAACAATATTAACATAAAAGTGAGACGTGTCATAACCCCCCCCCCCACCCCCCACAGCTGGAAAAATTCCTAGGGGAAACACTGAAATGTATTAAAAAATAAATAAATAATAAAAAAAAACGAGTGAACTTTGTCTTCAAAGGTGTGGAACACTCATTTAATCAATACATCTAGATTCAAAAATGAAACATGTTGCTGTAAAATAAAAACGATTCAATGAAACGTCTATGCGACGGTGTTGCTCGTACCTGCATCATTGAATATTTGGACTCTGCTGGGCTTCCGAACCCGTTGACCCCAATAAAGCTGCTGCTGAAGTAAGAGTTGGTGAGATTGGCATCACTCAGGTTTGAACCCTCCATTCCTGGGACTGTGGATGACACAAGTTATCACTAAAAGTTAACAAGAACAGCGAAAAGTGCATATCCTGCTGTGATGTAAAAAGCACCAAAAACATACCGCACAAGGTCTGTTGACCGATCGCTTTTAGATCGAATTTGCAGTTTTAAACACCACAATCATGTTATCGTCAAAGCTGCGTTTTTTGCAGAGCTCTTGACTGACCCAGGATCTGTTGTGTCAACCTCTTCACACATCCTGGTTCTTTGGGTTGCAGCAGTTTAGTTTTTTCAAAGAGTAATTATGTGAAACTTGTCACAAAAATTCCCTGAATAGTAATGGATCTTTTTGGTCCAGTTTCATGTTTTTGTTTGATCTGTTTTCCCAATTTTTTTTAAATACATTGTAATAGTGCAGTAGTGTGTATCATTAAGGTACACCCTACAAATGTGTTCTCATAAGTACTGAAAAACTACTATAAGAGTGAAATAAAGCACCTTCAACGTGCCTCTCGTTATGGGGGTGCTTTTTGCGACACACCAGACTTCAGTAAAGTTAGCAAGATATTCACAGATTCAACTTTTGCGGCTCAATACCTTCTGAACAGAGGGGAATTGGTATCGTGGCAAGGTAGTGAACAAGCTACAACCTCGTTTCTTAAAAAAGAAATAATACGTTCTGCTCCCGATGGTTACGTTAGATGGCCTGTATTTGATATAGCGCCATCTAGAGTCCTGGAACCCCCTAAGGCGCTTTACAACACAATCAGTCATTCACACACTGGTGGGGATGAGCTACGATGTAGCAACAGCTGCCCTGGGGCGCACTGACAGAGGCTGCCGAGCACAGGCACCACCGGTCCCTCCGACCACCACCAGCAGGCAACGTGGGTTAAGTGTCTTGCCCAAGGACACAACGACAGCGACAGACTGAGTGGAACTCGAACCTGCAACCTTCCGATTACGGGGCGAGCACTTAACTCCTGAGCCACCATTGATCTCTATGGGCCGACGGAACAAAACGAGCGCTCAGGGACCATCAGCAAATCATCACACCAAAAACATTAGATGATAAACTTTGTAAAAAGTCCATTGTTACACACTGCAGCGTGACCAAATTTACAAAATACAACACTGCACACACGCTGATCACACTAAACTATTTAGTTTAATCCAGGTATACAGTTTTGATTTAGTGTGAAACTTTTAATATAAATTGCAAAAGCTCATCCATTTAAAACTATAGTGACACCAAATTCACACAGAAAATCAGAACTTGGATGCTGATCATATTACACATTTTATGTTTTTAGAGAAAATACTACACTTTTCTTCTTTTTTTTTCGTTCTGACTTTTGGTGATATTTTAAAACGTAGAAATTAAATAACTCCTATACTGTGAACTCTTGACACAAAATTATGCCTGCTGGTCAATACTTAGCTCCTCTACATATTACAAAATTGTGTGTCAATTGAGTTTAAAGTGTAGGAGCTATTGAAATTAGAAAATTTTAAAAAATTAAAATTTTAATTCTGAGAAGTATTTTTAAACAAAAGTAAATGTTATGTCAACAGAGTTTACAGTGTAGGGGCTATTGAAATCTCTTACTTTGAAAGAAATCACCCAAAATCAGAGAAGTACAAAAAAATAAAAATAAAACGTGCAGACCGTAGATAAGGTAATGCAATTAGTTGCCGTCAGTTTGGTATCGCTAACATTTTCAATGTAGGAAATATAGATAATTATAAGTTATAAAAAGATAACCAAAAAGCAGACAAGTCATTTTTCTGCATCCAATGATAATCATGAATGAATGAATGATAATGTGGTGTATGATTTTGGTGTCACTACATTTTAAAATGGAGCAAATGTCAAAATTGATATCTTCAAAAATTAAAAAATTATAAACATTATGTGTTACTGGATTAAAATAATCAATGTAGTATGAACAACATGTGTGTAGTGTTATATTTTATGAATTTGGTGACACTGCAGCATACAGGGGTGGTGCTGTTTCTGGTTAGTCCATTTTCAGACGGTCCCGGCAGGTTCGTGTTCTCATAGAGCACAATTTAGCTCGTTGGGAGCTGAGCACGGTTTTTTTTTATTTTTAAGATTGTAGCTTATACACTACCTTGCCACGAGTCCAGAGAGGTATTTTATGTTTTGAAGTATTATCCTGTTCAGAAGGTATTGAGTTGCAAAAGTCGAATCTGTGAATATCTTGCTAACTTTACTGAAGTCAACACCAGATCCTGCCACAAGGTGATAAAATAAAGCGCACCTTAAGTAAAAAAAAAAAAAAAAAAGTTGTATTTTTTTAATATATAAATATTCGCTGCTATTGGTGGTTTTAGGTTTGAATGTGTCTAGAAAGCTTTGAATGACTTAAGTCAAACGTAAATGCGTGTTTATTAATGTTTGTTTACCCCGACAAAAGACGACGCGAAAAGCAACAACAATGCTGTAAAACAGTTAGCATTGATACGCTAACGTTAGCAAACATGAAAAACACAACAGCAGCACTACTTGGAATTAAAATATAAGCATTTAACTAGATTAAAACTAACGCTACAACAAGTCAAAGGAGTAAGAAATCTTGAGACGAAAAAATAAACACTAAAGTTAGCTCAAGCGTTTGTTAATGTGACGCTTGTTTGTTTAACTGGACAAGCTAATAGCTACACAGCTGTCACACAAAAACAGGCCTCCGAGTGAGCTGCACACACATGGCTCTTTATTATTGTGCTAATATTCAGTGTAAACTAAATTAAACTTGCAAAACAACCAGAGAGTAAGATAAGGGCTAACTGCCTACAATAAGGTTTGGTTCTGGCATGTTACGGTAAACCACGCTGTTTAGCGGTAAAGAGGCCCATGCGAGTCCTCGGGCTAAATTACGAGACCGCTGCTTAAGGCCTCAAAGAAAAGTCAGTTAGCTAACTCGTCCGGGGCCCTGTCCGTGTGTACTCACTGGTTAATAGCTGCCCCTCTAGGGACGTGCCCGCAGGCCCCAGTGTTTCGTTCTTCTTGGATACACCGGTACCTCCACCGCCAGTGCAAGGCGTCACCGCCGTGACGCCGAGGGAGTACCCCGCCGTGGCCAGCGGAACAGGGCTACCGCCGCCGTGCAGCGGCATGCTGCCCATGCACGGGTCTTCGTGCAGAAACTGACACTCATCCCCATAGAAGCAGGTTTTGTCTTTCGCATAGTATCGGCAAAACTTCACCTTGACATTGGGTATCCCGACACCCCCGAGCGGAGCAGCTGAAGGTGGGAGTCCACTGTTCATGGCACCACTGCTGCCGCCACTGCTGCCGGAAGGCACTCGAACATAGAGCCGCGGAGAGCTAAGTGCTAAACCAGCTACTTTACTACTCTAAATAAATCACTTCAGCTCACGGATAACATTTAACATCCCATATTACTCGTATTATAAAGCTAAAATACATTTTGGTTTAAGAAAATATGCCCGCATGTGTGAAATCTTGGTGGTTGTTGTCACCGTCCATGCAGCTGCCTACGCTGTAGCGGAGCCTGTTGTTGTTTTCTGCTCTCAGCCAGGCTGATGAGTCGATAGCAGAGCAGCTAACAAGGATATGCTGCGTGGAGTGCAGCATCATTCACCTGCCGCAAACTCAACTCAAGAGCGCTGCTTCCCAATTTTAAACTTAAAGTGCAACTCCAAGTATTTCTGATGAAGTCACTAATAAATAAATGAGTAAATTAATAAATAAACTGAGACAGAAGGCAACATCAGTATTTTTTATTTAATCTTTATTCATTTATGAATAATGTTTTAGTGCTGTGTAATAATAAAAATTATATGATTTTAGCAATCGAAGTCTTTAATTTAATTAGTTTTGATCTCTCTAGACCACACATTTAACACTGCAGGATCCGCAGTCGAGTGGCGGGCCCTAAACTTTGGGAATTTTGGAAACCACCGAGGTTTCACTCAGGACATGAACAAAGGAAAACAATTTCTTTAATTAAATGTTTTATTGTAAATACAATGTTTCACATATGCATGTTTTGAGACAAATTTTAAAAAGCATACATATACTGATAGCGATTATGCAAACATATTTATTTTTCCTATTTCCTGCAAAAAATACCTCTTCTTTTGCATGTCTGTATTTATCGCATGGCAACATATAATAATACATTTTGCCATCTCAAATTATTTCTATGGTGCTAATGTTTTGGTTGTTTTGAGCAAATAGGCGTGACTATTTCTAAGACTTCCTCTCTTTAAAAAGATCCCCGCACACTTAGTGCGCTGCAGTTTCACTGTTTGCGCTGAGAAACCAGGCACAGAGTGCAAGCATTATGGTGCGGGGAAACAGATGTGCACTAGCTGCAGGTACGTGAGTGTTTAAACACAGCTTTTCATGACGTTGAAAGCTGAAAATGCATTTTAAAGGTTAATCATTGGAAATTGTGACTGTAGAAGCAGACTTTTTGAACATTCAAAAATATTCTCAATGTGTGCTCTTCACTTTTCTAATAATTTATGAGATTTTTGTGAAGACTATGTAAGCTATCTGATTTAAAGTTGTATTCTACTGTGTTGAATTTAAGAAAAATGTAATGTTTAAATGTGAGGAATTACCATAACATCTAATCCAGATTAGGTAATTTGATTAAAACAATGTCATTATTAAAGATAAATCTGATTCATATTTTCAACCATTGCAGGAGATTAATTAAAAATTTACTAATCTTTTTTTAATCTTAAAAACATCCTGTATAACAATGTAAAAAAGTAAATTCCTGACACTTTTGACCTGTTCTTACATTTAAATTAATTTCTAAATATCCTAAGTGACCATTTTTCTTGCCTAGAAAGCAAAGTAGGAACCCACACTGAGGAAATAAAAAAAATCTTCTTTGCATTTCTATTTATTTTAGAGCACCAGGAGGATTAATGTAATGTAAAATCACAGTAAACACAAAAATAATAATACGTAATAATGCTTAACATTTTGATTAAATGTCTATTTTTGTTTTATTTTAATTCAGTATGTATATATATATATATATATATATATACACGAAATAAAATAATTGTGTGGTGTTTTGTACCACTGGTAGTATTGCCTTAAACTGACAGGAAAAATCATAAAATGCTAAAAGCGTCTGAAATTGTATGACAAGCAAATGACAAGCAAATAAGTCATATAATGTGTGACACAGTAAAAGTTTCATATTTAAAGGTTGAGATCTGATTTTATTTGTAACTTCATTGATTTTGTTTTTATGAAAAAGTCACACATGAATGTATTCCAATTTAATCTTTATTATATATTAAGATAAACTAGAGAATCCTGGTTAATGGTTAATTTCATGATTGCATTTATTTGTTATGAATATATAGAATGAAGAGCAATAATATAAGAATTTATTTACAGAAAATGTCATTATAAAAAGTAAACCATCTAAATATGATTTGTAACTTTAGTCTGAAAAATCTGTCATCATTAGTATCTGTTTGGGAAAAAAAAGAATCATGATATTAGTCGAGCGAGCCCTGGTGTAAAATGTATCTTTCTTCCTTTTTTTTTTAGATTAAAATATGTTTAAAGTTTAAATCAAAGTGCATATTTTCTATTTTTCAAGCTGTTCTGCTGTGTGCTACTAAAGCGTTCTGCTCTAAGGTAAGAGCAAATTTAAAATGTGTTAGTCTGAAAGACTTTATTTTTGACTGAGAAATGCTAAAGTTCTGAACTACATTTCAGCTGCCATCACACGTTCATGAAGTTGGTTTTGCGCAACAAATGTGGTTTTTTGAAATTACTATAAACCATAACAGGCAAACCACAGAGCAGAGTGAGGCATGGATAAGGAAACAGGACCAGCTCAACTAAAATTTGTATGTTTCTTAAGTTGTCACTTTGTTAAGTATTGACATTAAAACAGATCAGTTCCTTTGTAAAAAGAAAACTGTTTAAAAAGCTAATAGCATCCACATTCATCCTTTTGATTTTGGCCCTACTCAGACTAGCAGTTAGCTCATCAATCCAAATCCAAATTCATCTTTATTTCTCCAAACTGAGGCCATTTAATGGTAATGATTGTTCATAACCTTTCCACAAAAACTCACTTCAACATAGAAGAGTCATCCCTTTTCTGCACCTTTATTAAAAAAAAATACCACCCAAGACCAAATTCTTTGTGTCTGTAAGTCCAGATAAAAACTCTCTGCATGAGTTTGTCAAACACATAAATACAGTTTTACCCTCTAACGCCACTCAGAGTGGGATGTTGTTCCTCTCAGGTGGACCACATCGTCCCAGCTGCTTCTCTGAATGCATCCAGTCCTGTCAGCATCAGGCTGTCTGTTGGTAAGAAACTCATGGTCCTCCTGTTGATTTAGCATTCAGGAGAAAGCAGAGCATGTCTCAGCTAGCAGAAGCTAACCATTAGCATTAGCAATTCCATCACATGGCAGAACTCCTCCAGGCTTGTGATATTTGTGGAGATAAAACATCAACGATGCAAAGCAAACCGAGTCAGTAGTAGAATCATGCTGCTGTTAACCAATCAGAGGCCAGATGTCCCAAGTATAAGAAAATAAGACATAAGATTTATTTATTTATTTATTTATAAATCCAGTTGTTTTCTGCTCACCTCTCTTCTTTTACTACAAGAGCGTTTTTGCCCACAGAGATCGACTCACAAGGCATTGGTTTATTCTAGAGAACATGGCTAACGTGTCAAAAAACAATTGAACTTGATCTTTAATAAAATTCTCTGATTTAAAACAATTGCTTTTACTGAATCATGTTGACCAATGATAGTATTTAGCTAACAGGCAAAAACATTATTTTTCTTTTTGTTTCTAGAACGTCCCACAAAGCCACGACTGTTACTGAAGTCTTTCTCTAGAGAAACCAGTTCTCCTTTTATCTCGTGCGTCGGCTCTCCAGGGACCAAGACTGAATGGTTTAAGTAAGATATCCTCCACTGAAGCATTACACACTCATGTTTACTTGGTTAGCAAAATCACTTCATCAAAACGACCTGAAACTGAGACAAATCAATAATGTTCTGTTTTAGGTTGACTGGGGATAAGGAGAAACTTCCTGGAGGGGATTTTTCAGCTTCTAAACTGTATAAAATAGGAGTGATGTGTTGTGCCACAAACGATGAAGGAGATGAATGCACCCAGCTGTATGACTATGGTAACTAAACACATTAAATTATATCAAATTAAATAATCAAACAAGAGAAAATTATCAGCAGGGAAAACATGCAAAAATGAGTGAAAACTGAATTTATCTCTGGATTGTTTTCTAAATAGTATTTATTTATTTATTTATTTATTTATTTACTTGTTTTTATTTGCTCTAAAAGCGTGATAGATTTATTTTATTTTTAATTCCTGAATATTCCTGAGATTGCTGATTCAAACCCTTGATGTGTTTCAGATTTAGACTCCATTTCAAAGAAAAATGAGTTTTCTGAAGTGATGGTGAGCCCCGGAGATACTTTAGTGCTTCGCTGCAGAACAAAGGCTGAACAAGCTGCTTTTAAGTGGGAAAAGGATGGGGAGGTTCTCAACCCTGCATTAATAAAATGTCAAGATCAAGAAGACCAGGTACAGCATCACCTGATTTACCAGACCTTCTTTGATTCTCGTATAAAATAAACCAACGTTAGTGATCGTTAACCTGAAATCCAGGATTGGCTCATAATAAACATTTTTTTGGTTTTCCTCCAGGTGATGTGCATCAAAGAGGATGACATATACGAAAGCAACATGAAGTATGTTTACTTCAGACAGCTTAATGAGTCACACAGCGGAACGTACACCTGCAGCAGTTCACCCAATAAAAACAAATCTGTTAGCGTTCTGGTTACAGGTCAGTAGAGGTCAACATCTCTCCATTCATTATAGAAACTTATGTTCCTAGATCTTTATTAGTAATTTTCAAATCTCCTCAGGTAAAAGGTTTCTCTCTTCTAAGCTGGATGACCGGATTGTGACAAAAAAGAACGGCACCTGTCTGACAGCAGATGTTTTCTACCACCCCGAGCTCCAGCGCTGCTACTGGGAAACTCCTGATGGACACACGACTAAATGTACCATGGACCAAGTGGTAACACAGCCCAGGTAGAGAACAGTGATGCCCCCAGAAAAGTTTCATAGGGGTGTCCATGGGGTCAGACAAACTTTTGGGATGGCACACATAATTGATCCTTGTGGTAACTCTGAAAGCTTAGCCTGTGGTGGTGCAATAAATGCTCCTTTATTTATTTTCATAAGAAACGTAAATACATCTATGGTTTGTTTGAACAGTAACATGACTTATTAAAGAACACTGGTCTTTCTTGGGTGTGGCCAGCAATTTTCTAGGGGTGGCCATGGCCACCCCTGGCCACCCCTTGGGGACGCCACTGATGGAGAATCACGTCTATAAAAGGGTTAGATGAAATGTGAATATAAGACAGATTTGTTGGCTCTGTTTTCTCAGGGTGGTGAAGCTTTGTGACTCCCTCACATCGGGGGTTTATAGGTTACACCTGGAGGCTGGAGGAGCACCTGAAACAAAGAACATCACAGTTTGTGTTGCAGGTAAACAGCTTGTTTTGTTGTTAAATCCTTTGTTAGAATTAAACATTTTCTGCACTTATGATCTAATGATTCTATTACAGAAACACCTACTTTTAAATTCAACAAAATAAACAATGAATTTCACTGTGAAACTGTGAGTCCCTTCCCAGCAGAGTTCACATGGACGTCTTGCAACCAAAGGTAGGACCGCCTTCACATCTGCTCAGCTCTGAGTCCTTCGGTTCGGGTTAGGAAAGCTCTTTGTGTCGCTACAGTAATCATAATGAATCCTGGAATGTCATTAAGAAGGAAAATCGATCAGACAACTTCTGCAACAAGAAAATCACCAGCTTTGTGGATCGAGACTTGGTCCTCGGAGATCACTTGAGGTTTTGTTTGACAAACTCACTCGGCTCCTGGTGCGACACCTGGAAGTTAGTGATTGAGCCGGCGATTATCCCCAAAGGTAGCTTGAAGTTTGTCACTTGATGGTGTGAGTACAACGTTGGTGTGACTGACAGCTGCTGCATTCACATGTTTTAAATCCTCCAGCTCCTGATGATAATGTGTTCCTCCTGCTGAAAGTCAGCGCTTGTGTTCTGCTCCTGGCTCTGGGAGTGGTCATAGTGCTGTTCATTTACTACATCAAAAAGAAGGTGTGTATCGTCTCATTGGTAGAAAACAAACAAATAAACAAAGAAAAATAAACACATTAAGCTAGATGTTAAAATGTGTGTGTGTGTCCCACAGAAACCTAAGTACCAGCCTCAGCTTCAGATGGTCCAGATGGTTGGACCCAATGACAACGACTACATCTACATCAACTTTAAAGATTTTCAGTATGACAAAAAATGGGAGTTTCCCAGAGAGAACCTCAAACTCGGTACGAGTCTCCTATTTACAATAACAACACCGTGACTGCTTAGAAATTTGAACGTTCTTTCTCTTTAAAGAAGATTTCAGACATTTTAAAGTGTGCTAGAATGTTTTTCTCCACCAGGACTGATAAGCTAAAGGCTAGTTTAAGTGCAGCTAAGATGAAGGTTTACTGTTCCCATCTTAAAACAGCTCTCAGAATTTTAAACAAAATATTATTTTACAATTTTTTTTTTATTCGACATGGCAATTGTGACTGAAATGTTAAAGAGGTTCTTGATCAGAACTTTTAGTGGTTAGAAACTGCTCTATGAGCCTCTACAAAGCAAATGAAACTTTGTTGGAGCTCACAATGACCCAGGAGCCCTGATAAATGGCCAAGCACAACCCCACAACAAAGCCACGTGAAGACTGTTTGACCACACCCACTTGGCCAGGACATGAGAATTAAACTAGCTGCATGTTGATTGGCCAGTTTCTCTTGAATGGCTCCATAGGAAGCCCAAGTCACTTCCATCTACTTCAGAACCATGGGTCCCTGAAGAACGAAAAAATGAATGCAAGTCAACGGGGCTAAAAACGTTATTTTCTAATTCCGCTTGTTATGTGCCATGAATTTCATGGTTTGTGAATTTTAAAGACACATTTTGATACCAAGAACGCGCTTATTTCAAATGGGGGGAAACAGTATTTTAGGTTTTGTGTGAAAATGAGTCCAGGACTCCAAATGCGCTTCACCAAAGTGACGTCATCGAACCAGACACGGAGAAAACTGAGGGAAAATGGCTGTAAGTTCAGCGAACTTCAAATCCTTCCATCAGGAGGAAAGAACCATAAATCTGGCCATGTGGTAAGTAGCAGCTACGCTAGGGAAGAGGAGATTCTGTGGTGACGTCATATATGCGACGTACCGACGTCTGATTTGTAGTCGTGCTAATTACGAACTTTTACAATCTGATGAATCTCAAAGTACGTGACTGGCGTGATCAAAACACACATCATTACCTTTCATTTAAATAGCAGAACGACATATGTGTGATCCAGGGTGTAAGGCAAAGCGGACTAGAAAATGGAGTTTTTAGCCTTGTTGACTTGCATTCATTTTTTCCTTCTTCCGGGGACCCATGAGCCGACCGGAAAGGGAGGAGACTTAGGCACCCTATGACTGCCTGAAGCTAGATACCTTTATATACAGCTGTGTACAGTATCAGGATAACTCAATAGGCAAATGTGTACTGCCTATACTTGACAGGTAAAGAACTGGGCTCTGGAGCTTTTGGCATGGTGGTTCAGGCTACAGCTTACGGCATCAACAAGCCTGCAGTCTCACAGCAGGTGGCTGTAAAGATGCTGAAAGGTCAGCGTTTGCTCTCCAAGTCTGATGTGGAGCATCAGAGTGGCTGTTAGTTACGGATCTCATGTTTGACTGCAGAAAAGCACCAGTCAGTGGAGAAGGAGGCTCTGATGTCTGAGCTGAAGATGCTGACTCACATCGGTCATCACAGCAACATCGTTAACCTCCTCGGGGCTTGTACTGAAACAGGTGTGCTAGCTGAGTGTCAGTTCGCCATGTGAGCAGGATGTGATGTCATAAAACTATCAATAAACCCTCCACGTAGGACCAATCTACCTGATTTTCCAGTACTGTTGCTATGGAGACCTGCTGAACTTCCTGAAGAAGAACAGCGACCGTTATCACAAGTCTGTGACGGATGCCTTTAGCAAGGATCGTTTCAGCAGCCTGTACCACAACCAGAAAAACTCCTGGTAGGAGCACCGGCACCCGAAGGATAGATGTTGCGTAATATCATTAAACCGGTAACTGTTTTACAAACAGTAAAGAAGTAACAGGGTGATGTTTGTTGTTGTGTGTTCTCAGTGAGTTAATAACGTCAGTGGACAGCTACATGCCCATGCACAGCACCACCACCGGGGGACAGGAGGACAGCTCCCTCCTCACCCACAACTACAAAGACATGGAAGGTGATACCTCCAAAAATGGGATCTGTCTAAACGCTGGGTGACAGGACACTGAGAGCTTTATGTCTGGACATGCTTACAGATCCAGAAATCTTTGATGCTGGAGACGATCCTGATGAAGAGCTGCAGGCCCTGACCTTTGAAGACCTCCTCAGTTTTGCCTTCCAAGTGGCCAAAGGCATGGAGTTCCTCTCCTCCAAAAACGTAGGAGCTAAACAGGGTTTCGTCTTTTAATTATTAGATTTTTATCCACTACAATGTTTAAAATAATCTTGTGAAGATAAAATGACTAATTTTACTTCTCAATGGCTGATTTTGTTTGTGTTATTTGACATTTTTCACTGACATAAAGCTATGAATAAAATGTCCATTTATACCGTTTATGACACCAAACATCCTTTTGTCTATTATTTAGTTAACTCGATTACAACACGTGAAATAAATTATTTAAATAATAGTGCTGTGTGATTGTTGCTGGCGTCTGTAGTGTATCCATCGGGATCTCGCAGCTCGAAATGTGTTGGTGACAAAAAACAGGCTGGTGAAGATCGGCGACTTTGGTCTGGCTCGGGACATCGACAATGACTCCAACTATGTAGTGAGAGGAAACGTACGTAGCATGGTCGTTGGTAGGATGTTCGTTTCAGGGTTTTTTTTTTCTTTTCTTCTTAACTCTGGTAACTCATCGTCTTTCAGGTGCGTCTGCCAGTGAAGTGGATGGCTCCAGAGAGCATCTTCCAGGGGATGTACACCATGAAGAGTGACATCTGGGCTTATGGCATTCTGCTCTGGGAGATCTTCTCACTTGGTATTTTACTAAAAAAATAAATAATAAAGTACCTTAATAGGATTTTATCACACTGCAAACTTTTATATGATAATAAACAATTGCTCCCAGGTGTTACTCCGTACCCGGGTATAAAGGTGGATGCCACGTTCTACTCAATGATCGAAAGAGGATTTAAGATGGAGCAACCCTACTACGCCAACGACTCTGTGTAGGTGTCATCACACTGGGAGCAGAGAATGGTTGCAATATACGGATTGCTTATTTATGGATCTTCAATGAAGGAAGTTATTGGAGAACAACTAATTTTACAGAAATATTGGTATAGCACTTTTTGTTAACATAAATGAAACTACTCCAGGTACAAAGTGATGTGCAGCTGTTGGGCTCTGAATCCCTCCGACCGCCCATCTTTCTCCAAGTTGGTGTCCTTCATGTGTGATCAGCTGACAGGCAGAGAGGAGAAGGTACTGTACAGCCTAAAGTCAATGTAATACTCTTTAATAAAACTCCATTTAAAATTTAAACACTTCCATCTTCATAAGGCAAGCTCATTTGGAAATGTCATGATCAAGCTTTTCAGATTTTGTTTGTTTGGGTGTTTTTTTTTTCAGCTCTACCACAACATGCTTGACAAGATTTACCAGAACACATCGACCATCACTGACATTTGCGCCTTGGAAAAACAAAGCAACAACAAGTCGGGAACGCCCAACGATTACTGCACAACCAACGTGCCAAATTCAGGAACTGTGGTGGATGAGGAGGAGCCTCTGAAACCATCTGGTGCAGAATGATCCATTTTTAAGCTTCAAGCTATTTTATCTTTAAAGAATAAAAAGGAAATACTCAATATCTTCTTATACTCATCAAAAGGATTGGGCTTAATATTATTTTACAAATATTACAATCTCTTGTTTATACTTTATTCAATGAAAAATACTGCAAGTAGCACTTATTTTGCATTTTGAATAACCTGAGCTAAAGATGTGAGAATTTTACATGACTCTGTGCAGCTCAGTGGCTTAAAAAGTAGACGTCATGTGTATTCTTAAACTGTAAATATGTGGCTTTCTCTCCATTAATATCAAATTATTCTGGTAAAAGATCAATTTTGCACACAAAACTGATTAAATATCAATCCATCATTGGTAATAAAATGTCAAACATCGCCAACAGTATTTCAAACTCAGTATAGATTTGATTGTTTTTGTATTTGAAGGTGATACTGTGTTAAATAACTGTATAAAACAGGCCATATCTATTTTTTTAGTTATTTAAATTGATGTTAGCCAATAGTTCTCAGGGTTTTGGTCACTATCACACCTGCTGTCATTTGAGCTTCCTGTATTTGATTTAGCCACGTATAAAGGATGCTGCTGCACAGTGTAAGACAAAAAAGAAAATAAAGCCTAAAAAATAAAATATATACAACACATGAAAAGTGTCTGAAAAAGCATTAGAAATAAAGAAAAGGTAAAGCAATACAAAGAGCTGAAACATGCATTGTCTTTAAATTAACCAATCTATGTTTGTTGTCTTTATTTTGTACACTTACAAATTTTATCAACCCTGCATTAAAACGTCACTGGATGCTTTGAAGATAAAGTAGATTTATGCAAAACTGTTTTCTTGGCTTATATATATATTAAATAATTGTCCTGTATTTGCACTAGTTGAAAATTCTTGCACTGTAACATGGAAATATGATATATATTTTACTGAAATTACACGTGGTGTATTTTTTTTTAATATTTTTCGCACTTAATTTCTTAATTTTAGTTGTCATTATTTTTGTTTGGTTGTTTATTTTATTAACGTGCGCCTCTCACATTATGGGAAGGAAAGCATATTGAAGCAGGTAAGGATGCTCTGACCTGCTGCGCTCAACTCCTCCGCTAGGTGGCGACAAAGACCAGAATTACCTTCGAGGGTCCTTTTAAAATCAGAATTGATTTGATAGTAGAGAAAACATTAACCACAGTCAGACACGCGGGGGCTGTTCTGCGTGTCCACACGTGCGTTTACCCGTGTTTAAAAAAATGTCCAAAGGTCATAAAACGTCCCAGAGACAGAATGGACATCTCAGCGGTGAACGCTCTCCCTTATGAAGATTTTGTGAATCTTTTTGGAAACGTGGTGGAGAAGTGTCCACTTGTAGCCGCCGCTGTGTGGACCAAGCGTCCCTTTGTGAGCTTAAGTTTGTTAGAGGCAGCCATTAATGAGTTTATCGATGCTCTTCCAGAAGCGGGTGAGAATTGTGTTGGACATCTTTGAACCACGTGATGGATTTGACTGACCGACTATAGAGAAGTAACGGGTTGTGACGTGTGTCCAGGTAAAGAGGGGATCCTCAGGTGTCACCCGGACCTTGCAGGCAGGGACCTCCAGAGCGGAACGTTGTCCCCGGACTCGCGCGAGGAGCAGGCGCGTGCCGGAATGGACGCGCTGAGCTCGGCGGAAGCCTCGCGCGTGGCACGGCTTAACGAGGAGTACAAGCAGCGGTTCGGGTTCCCGTTTGTCATCTGCGTCCGGTTGAACGACAAGGCGAACATCGTGCGCGAGCTGTCCGAGCGTTGCCTCAACACGCGCGCGGCAGAGAGCGCGCGTGGCATCGAGGAGGTAAAGAAGATCCTCCGCCTGCGTCTCCAGGCTCTCGTGCTTCCCGATGCTCCACATAAATTATAAATCTGAAGTTTATACAGCTGGTGTCAAAGTTACACTTTGTGATAAATTCTTTGATTTTATTAATAATAAATGTGTGTCATTGAACCAATTATTAATAAAACATTTACAACAGAGTGAAATCTGGGATTAAGCATCAACACAAACCTTAAAAATACACTGTTGATATGAATAAAACCTCCCGGTTGGTGGATTTGATTAGGGGGTAAAAGTTCAGCCTGTGTTTGTTGTCTCTTGATGCCCTCTGGTGTTCAAACTACTTCAAAGCATAAAAGGTTAGCCCATCTGAAATCCAGCAATGAGACATGAAAAAAGTAAATAAAAGGCAAATATTTGCACAATAAAGTTATTTTCCTAACTGAGGAAGGAAATCTATACTGCTGAAAACGACTGTATTTGTTCAAATTATTATTATTATTATTATTATTATTATTATTATTAATTATTATTATTATTATTATTATTATTATTATTATTATTATTATAACCAAGGGTGTGCTTTTGAGTGCATGGTTCTGCTGCATCCACAGAAAAACTCAAGTAACCCTTCACAATAAGAGTCTCTATGTGTCTCAAAACATTTGAAGGTTATAAAATATTTCGTTTTCCAGCAAAACAGTAATTATAAACTTTTTAGAAACGTCAGCTGTTTTGAGGTACAAGTTCCTGTTTCAGACTCTTATTGTGAAGGATCAAAGGAAGTAGCCAAAAGACTGCACGTGGTCAACAAATGCCTCCTATTTTTTAGTTTAATCAGCAAACACATTGGATACTCATAAAAATAACATATAATAGTGAAATTGATTAATTGAGACTAAAGGGCTGACTTATTTGGTCCTTTTGACATTTGGACAGTTCCTCCTGAGTCTCTCCTTTCATGGTGGCGCGATTACGACGTCACAGTTCCCAGATGGTTGAGAGGATTGACAGGCCCTCCTCCTTTAGAAGATGAAAAATAAAAGCATTCCTAGGCTGCAGTCTTGAGTTTATTCCCTGGATACTGCGGACAAAGCCGAGCCGTGCAGCGGGGACAAGGGGGGTGTGGTGGTGTGAGGTCCGTTAGTGGAGGACACCCCCCCTGCGGACTCTCCTTGGTCCCCGGAGGTGATGGAGGAGTCCTGGTCTGGGTCGGAGATCCTCGCCCTCCTCCGGTCCTCCTCCTTCTTCCACTTCATGCGCCGGTTCTGGAACCAGATCTTAATGTGGCGCTCGGTGAGGCTGAGGGTGAGCGCGAGCTCCACGCGCCGGGGCCTCGAGATGTAGCGGTTAAACAGGAACTCCTTCTCCAGCTCCAGCAGCTGCGCGCGCGTGTAGGCCGTCCGCGTGCGCTTGTTTTCCTCAGCCTCAGCCACCACGTAGGACCCTGAAACCATGAAGAGTCCTGATGAGTTTGAACAACTTTTATTCCGTTTGAGTTTGTTTGGATAAAAAGATCCATCAAAATAATAAAGAATTCCCCAAAATATTTTAATGCGAAAAGAAAGTCAACTTCATCCATTTGAGAACTATTAAAAGTTCAACTTTAATTTATCAGAATTTATTTCCTGCAGCAATAAATAAATAAAAGCGTGACTAAGTTCTTGTCACGGTTTGCCCTTATAAAACGTTTTAATTTATTATTTTTCCTTTAACGTAAATAGAGACCTCGAATCAGTTTTTTTCTGTTCATTGAAACATTAAAGGCAAGTGAAATTATCTAAACACACACACACACACACACACACACACACACACACACACACACACACACACAACTTTTTAGCAGCAATTAAATATTTCATGATTTTTTTTCTTTTGTGCAATTTTAAACTAAAAAACTAGTTCATTTTAGAAAGTCACAATCAGCACATAAATATAAAAAAATCCAGATTAATTTCATGTAACTGAATCAATTTATAAGCTACAAATGTGTTAATTTTTTTCAAATGTGACAATTAAAGCTTTTTATAATTTTAGTCTTGAAATCACATCTGAATTTGATTTGAAAATTTTGTCACTTTTCTAACTCGTCATTAGTCAAAAGATCCCGGATAAAAAAGCCTTTTAATCTGAAACATTTTCCATTTAGTCCATAGAGTTTTATTTTAATTTGCTTTATAAAATAACATTTGAAGTTTGTGTTTTAATGTTAATGAAAAGCTTTTGTTTGAGCCTGTTGGGTTTTTGTGGGGAGCTCGTACCACCACATGCAGGCCCCGGAGAGTCCGTTAAAGTTATAAATATTTAGTGTCCACATCTAAATGTCCTTCAGGCACAGAGGGCTTACCTGTCCACTGTCCCTTCCAGGTGTGTGAATGGGATTTAGTGGTCTTCATCCAGGGAAAAGGAAGCTGGTATCTGTTCTGATCTCCCGTGTCTCCATAACCCAGATTCTGGAGCGGGGACAGCTGGAGCCCCTGCGGGTGGTGCAGCTGTGGCACACCTGGATCCTCCCGCATGGGCACACTGTAAGTGGGGGCGATGTCCAGGCTGGCCTGCTCCAGGGCTCCCAAGGCCGGCGGTGTGTAGACGGAGTGCACGGGTCTGCTCATGTAGAGGCAGGGTGGAGGGCTGTAGTCCTCCCCCTGTGGTCTCTGGTAGACACAGGAGTCTTTAAACACCTGAGAGGGGTAGAATTGATCTTCTCGATTCATGGCTGGAGAGGAGCGGAGGTTACAGGGGGGCGTTAGACGCGGACATGCACCCTGTTCCTGCCGCCCTTCCTCGGTGTGGACCTTCGGCTCCACCTGTGGCGCAACTGCAAGGCCCCTGCTCCACACAGGTGTGTCACTCTGACATCATGTGACCCCAAGGCGCCCAATTCATTGGCTCCAGTGTTTGCTCGGAATGACAGCGCCCAGTTTCCATGATATTCTGCAGCTTTTCCCCCTGAGTTGAACAGAGCAGTGCGTAAAATCGGTGCCAAAACGTTCACATACACCAACTCCGAGTGGAACAACAAAAATTTGGATACTTTCTTCACGCAGGACTCTCGTCCACAGACATGGAAGCAATCGACATTTTATGCGAATATGAGTCTTGTAAATCGATACTATGGGTGCAAACATTGGGTTGACCTGCGAGATAAGGCACCCGTTGTCTTGGAAACACACCTTAGTTTCCACAGCCTTTTATTTTAGTCCAGCTCTTTCTGACGTTTAAATCTGTCCATTACACTTTTCTAAATGCATCATTTAACACCATTTTTGCGCGCGCTGCCTCAGACGATAAAAAAAAAACCTTGGCGACGACAAACACAACTCTGCTGCACTCTCCTCGTGTTTGCTGGCCATTAATCTTTGTGTGTCCTCGCCCCATTTAACAATAGCCCTCTTGGTTAGTCAATTATCATGAAGAGACCAACTGAACTCAATTAACCGCCGTGCGCGTTTGGAGCGCGCGTCTCCACGGCCTTTTACGCACGACTTTCAGACGCATGTTTGTCACGCGGGACGAGCCGGCTTTTATTTTGATAGTCTGCGCAGCTTCGATAGACTATTTGCACTCAGATCTTCAAAAGCAATTATAGCACTTTCCAATGAATCTTAATGGCAGCACTCAACGGTGCAATAAAGTCCAGGTGAACCATTTCTATGCAAAACACCCCCCTGCAATATGGCCTAATGGCCTTTATATTTGATCATTGTTGTAAAGAGGAAGGAAATTGTTAACCCAGGCTGTTCCATATGTGATTTATGAGGCGTGTTGCCCGTTAAGAAGGGAGGCAATCAGAATCAGACACTTTCGTCCCTGTAAAGTTGTAGAAATAATAAAAGACAGTGGAGTCAGAAAAAATGGAAAGATTTAATGGCCATCTGCCGTCTCAAAGTGAGGACAATCACACAAAATCAACAGATTGTTCCTGAAACAAAATAAATGAAATGTTTTTTAGCTTTTTCATTGAGTAACAAACCAGTTTTTGACGGCATGTCAAAAAATGATAAAACATGCTTACTCTGTGGCGACAGCAGCGTGGCCTATGTAAACATCATGACACGTGATGAATAGTAATGGCGTTATAATAGAGATTAGGTCCCCCTCCTGTGACGAACACGGTTACACCTCATCATGAGTCACGAGAGAGACTGTTTGACCTCATTCTGTTGCATTTTATTGGGAAAAAAGAAAATAATCTACCAGTACGTCCAAAGAGACAAAACTCACTCTATTTCTCTGTAAAATGATATTTTAAATAAAGTTTTTCTCTTTTAAACACAAAGCAAACAGCAGCACCTCTCAGTCGGTTATGAGCTCCTGAGACTAAAAACAAAGCCGGTCCATTCATGAAGTCTGAATCCGTCTTTTTTTGTCTCTTTTCTGTCCATCGGCATGTTTCCGGTCTCTGTCGTCTTGGTGTCTGCTGCGTCTGTCCTTATCTCTGTCCGGCCTCTTATCTCGACTTGTGCGGCGGTCCATGTGAGGACGTTTATGATCCGAGGGGCCGCCAGTATTCCTGTGATCAGGCGGAGGCGTTCTGCTGCGGTCACGCTGTCTGTCCGGGGACTCGCTCCGAAGGCGTCCTCTTGTGGAGGAACATTTGGCTTGGGGTTCCTCTGTGCGCCGGTGCAGGCCCGTGGAGCGCAGGGTGTTGAGTAAGAAGCGTTTGTTGGTGCTCTGTAGAGGACACTTCAACCTGGAGAAAAATCCACAAACATCAGACACAGATCCAGAAAAATCCAGCAGTTGATGCCGAAAGAAGAAATTTAATTTCACAGATTCAATCAGACTTCAGCAACATGACTTTTGTGGGTGTTTTATCCCTTTAACTATAGAATAAAGAGGCTAAATAAGAAATTTTCACACATACGATTGAAATGCCCCAAAAAAACCTTTAATGTATATATATGATATAAGACCTCAAATTAAAATACCAACAGATAAGATAACTTTTAGTGCAAAACTAACATTTTTAGGAAGACACGAGGTGTGTTCAGATGGTTTAATGAGAACATGAGCAAAATAATCTAATATTTAAAATAATACTAGACACTAAGTAATTATCCAAAAAGAAAAAAGAAAAGAAAGAAAGCCAATCCACATGAGAGGGTCAGAGATATTTCAGAGCTCACCATCCTGCAGGACCCATGGTCTCTGCTCTCACCCGGGCTCTGTCAGTCTCCCTCAGGAGCTCCTCCACGGCGCGCCTAGACGGAACCGGACCCAGAACCAGGAGAATGAGTCATGAGACAAACAGGACAGAAATTCTGAGCAGATGTACAAGAAATATAAGATGAAAGTAAAGCGGACGTGTCCTTGTTTGACCCGAAATGAGTCTCATCACCAGATTGGACTCGCTACTTATGCCGACCTGAAACTACACACAACAGGCAGCTAGAGTCAACAAGTCAACTTTAAATACAGTAAACAACTCAGATCAGAACTACTAACAGACTGTTTTTCCGCAGCGTTACATTTTAGAGGGAAAATGTCTGCAAATGTGTTCAGACGGAAGTTAATAAAGATACATTTACTCACTTTTCTAGCTCATTTTCTTCCGCCATTGCGTCTTAATCACACAAAAACTCTTACAAATAAATAAAAACCTAATAAAACCTATAAATTTACGTTAATTTACGAGGCATTTCTTGTTCACTTCGCCGAGAGGTCCTTCAATCGCGGACCCTGTTTTTAGCTGCCCGGAGCAATGCCTGTTCAGTTGCAAAATCATGTTGAAAATAAGTTATGAAACCAAACTACATTTTTTATTTACAAGTAGATATGTTTGTGTATTATGTATTGATCTTTTTTAATTAAAATAATTGATATTTTTAAAAGTTCAATAAGTTATGGGGCACCCCTGGAAAAACATTTACAGCTGATTGTTTTAGCAACATTTGGCCACAAATAACTTTAAAACAAACATAGAATCAAACAAATATATAAACACACTTTGTTAAAAAAAAGGATTTATACTCAAATCGAAACGTAAAATGTGACATTTAAACTTGTAAATTTTTTATTTGATTAAACATTTTTCATTGGGAACTAAGCCAACTTAATTCTTTGGTAAATTGTAAAAATAATTTAAATACATACAATGGCTTAATCAAAAGTAAAGTGATAGTTACAGAATATCATCAAGCAAGATATTTTAGTAATCTAGATTGTGATACATTAAAGGACAATAACAAACATTTTTATTTAGAAGTAATCTTCTTAAAGAAGACATATTATGCCTTTTGCATCCTTTTTGTGCCGCCATGTGCACTCTGCCTCTATAAACGCTCCAAACATGCCAATGTGTGGTTGTAGAAATGTTGTGCCTAAAACAAGCTATTTGAAATTGTCCCCAATTGTGACATCACAAGCAGGCCCAGTGCCAATACTCGCATTGCGCCCTGCAGTCTTCAGCAAAGTGCACTTGGAGAAAGTGTGCAGTAAGGCTTCGAGTGCGTGGACTACAACTGTGCAAATAATTGCTGAAGTGAGACAGGGAGCATTGCGTCATGAAACGCAACGCATGCCGAGATGCTGGTCCTGTGATACTTTTTCAAAAGCCTTTATTAACAACTTTTAAACAAACAACCCATTATTTGAAATAAATTTTAATTAATTGCTGCTTTGTCTAAAACATTCAGAGCATCAACTGATTGTCCCAAAACTAACTCATTCCATTAGAAAATATTCAGAAAAGGAACTTGAACCCTTTCTCCTGCAGCAATGACTTGTGGGTAATACACTTCACCCAGCACTGTAAGAATACTTTTGAGGCAGATAATTAAGTATATATTTGTTCTGTTTTTTCTATTCTATTCTATTCTATTCTATTCTATTCTAATTTTTGTTCTGATCCTGTTTTTGAACAGGCGGTCGGTGTAAGCCACCTCTAAACTCAGCTCCGTAGACTCCTCCCATCACCTTTTGATTGGCAGCGGTGGGCGGGATCAGCGGCGCCAACGGTACGGGGGCGTTTTCTTGCGGGCTTGCGGAGCTCTCCGTCGGTTGCGGCGAATGCGTGATCGACGCCCCGCAGCTGATAATTGCTCCCCGCTTTGGGGCCCGAGTGGACGGCGCGGAGGAGCCGCCGGAAGAAGGTAAAACATCCATCACATCTGGAGACATCCATCTCCTGCATGAGCTGTGTCAGCGAGCGGGGTTGATGCTGTCGCCTCTTCTGTCCTGTCCTCGCGCGCCTCCGCTTCTGCAGGATGGGATGAAGTCAGACAGCTGGGGAGGGAGGTGAAAGAGGGGTGCGATGATTTTAATAACGATGTTGACTTAACCGGAATATGACACTGCAGTTTATGCAAGGCAATCTGGGACGACGACACCGGGAGGAGGAGAAAATGCTAGATTTAATCAAATCGGTGTCTGTTTTTGTTGTCACCCCTGCACGTCTGCCTGGAGAAAAACAGACAATTGAAACACACCTCGCAGGCCTCTTCTAAATAAATTTAAAAACATGGATGAAGAGATCGGGTCGAACGTAAGATAAACTTGAGTTTTAAAATCTGTGGCCTAAATTATGATGCCATTTCTGTTGGTTATTGCATTTCTGCACGTGCTAAAACCTTAGTTTGTCATTTGTGTGTAGACAAAATTCTGTCATTCGTTAATACAATACAAAGCATGCATGCATTCATACTTCTGCAGAGGACTATTGTCCTGAAAAAGATCAAAGTGCTTTGAGAGTTCTAAAATCCCAAAGATTATTTTCAGGGCCTGCTGGATAAAGCTCGTGTGCTTGTTTGCGTATGCGCGTGCAGGTTTACGCCTGCATGTCTACACGTCTGTGTGTGATGTGGTGATGTCACAGCTTTGTTACAGAAACAGAGAAGCCTTGTGTCCTCATGATTAATTCATGTCCAGCTGCGGGATAGAGACAGAAGCAGCCAGTCACACACAGACAGGAGCATGTGCTTGAAAAGGAGACAGAAATAAGGGGCTACTGGTCCCGTGGCCAAGGAGACGGTAGGGACAGGTTTGTCAGGAGACAATCTGTGCAGATCAAATGAAACGCAAGAATAGAAATGAACCAGAGGGACTTTCATCCTGCTCTGCGCAGTGTGACGAGCTTTCAGCATCTTGCTGGGAGAAGTGCATCTGTTGTTGCGCCTCCTCTGCATCCTTCGCTGGCTACACTCTGAATGTCAAGCCCCACTGAGCAGAACAGGATGCAGGTCGTCATGGAGACAGGAGCAGACCCTTTGCTGGAACAGAGGCAGGTAGTCACTGTGGCTTGGCCACTGAGCAGGGAGGCACGCCCTCTACTGTCCGCTGAAGGCATCGGGCCCTCTGGGGTGTTGGAGGTCTGGAAGGCTCCGAGTGTGAACTCTTCTGCAGCAGCTCCAGGGACTTCCTCTGTTTGTTTTATTTCAAGACTTTGCTTAAGGCATGTTCTCTTCTTGCTGTGGAGGAGATCAAGTTCATCCTTTGTAAATGGTCCAAGCCAAAAATATCAAGCGCCTAAACTATTTCTGCCTTCATGCTTTGCATTTTTTGTGAAATTTCTATTCCCTTCTTGGCCCTTTCTGTTTTTTTTTATTATTTATTTATTTTTTCACAAATCTACCTGACCTCTTTCACCCATCTTCAAACCTCCTTCTCTCCTTCGCGGCTCTGCCCTCACTACCTCCTCCAGCTGATTTCCCAATCCCGCTTTCTCTGATCTGTGTCCTCTCTCTGCTTCAATCCCAGATAATTCCCTCTCGGCGAATTGGAAGATTGGAGTAGGCGAGAGCAAAAGAGAGATTATACTGTCAGATTAGCAGACAGGAGCAGCAACACATAATCTCAGCAGATTCCCACACAGAGTTCGGACTCACGGAGACACGTGCACACAAATCATTTGCCACATGAATAAATTCCCATAATCAGACACTTGTTTTGCAGAAACAGCTGTTGAAGCCTCCTGCTGTGCCCTCTGACCTGCTGAGTAATGCGCCACCGGCCGCTTGAGGGCATTCGTCCTCTCTGCAACCTGTCGAAGCTTATGGGATAGGAGTGCTCCCCGCCAACCCACCTTTCCCATCCCTGCAGCACCACTGGAGCCATTTGTGCCAAAGCTGAACTGTATTGACGGAGAAGCTATGGGCAGCCCAGGCAGTGAAGTGGATGTTGCCGGGCCAGTGGAGCCAGCGCTGGAGGCCCTGTGTCCAGAATGTGGCCAGATCCACCGCAGCTGGGAGAACCACCTGTATAATTACCGCCTGGAGGTGGATGACGACCTGGTGTGCCACATCTGCCTGCAGCCTCTGGTGCAGCCTCTCGACACGCCCTGCGGGCACACCTTCTGCGCCCGCTGCCTGCGCAGCTTCCTCCAGGAGAGGGACTTCTGTCCTCTGGACAGGACACGGCTGCAGCTGCAGGCCTGCCGCAGATCCAGTATCCTGGTGCACAAGCTGCTGGACAAGCTGTCCGTGTCCTGCCCTCTGAGCCCTGTCTGCTCTCTCAGCATGCCACGATGTGACCTCGAGGCACACCTCAAACACAGGTAGGAAAGGTACAGACATTATCAATGGATGCATGCATGAAAACTATAAACAACTGTGCATGCATGAATTTAGAGGGTAAACAGCTGCATTTGACTGTAAAACTCTTGATTTTTGAAATACATGAAATAAGATCCTGCGATGGATTGGCTCTCTGTCCAGGGTGTACCCCGCCTGATTGCCCATTGACCGCTGGAGATGGGCACCCCCCCCCCCGACCCTACCGAGACAAAGAGAGTTCAGACAATGGATGGATGGATGGATGGATGGATGGATGACATAAGATCATCATATGTTGATAAATGATGGAGTTCTAGTTGCTTTGGTCGCATTTTGAAAGTAACATGAAACACAATTTCACATAATACTGCAATGTTTAGCAATTAGACCTCTCAGGAGCAATAAACTGGTTTCCACCATAATTTATAGTTAACTTGGCCTCCCATGGCCTGGTTGTGTTTACATTAGCTTCTACATTGCAGACGTGGGTGAGGACATGGGCTGCCTCTGCTTAGCAAAGTGGCACAGAGAAGTTTGTGATGTCATTCGTAAGCGCCACAAGTCAATAAACAAAAGTCGGCATGAGCACGTTGCATGATGTTCAATAAGGCGTCACTGAGCAAAGCAAAGCTTAACCCCGGCTTTCCAAAGGATCGAGAAACATACTTTGCTGCAACTAGCCACCGTTACAGTGGACGGGTTCCTTTCCACCGGCAGGAAAGTATTTTGGACACGTTCCAGAAAGGGATGCCATTGTTATGTTTCGAGTTTATTTGTTACGCTCTGCGCTTCCAAAACATGTGAAAATTTGCAGTTTAGACCGGGCCACAAAGGAAGTCAAAAACTAAAGCATTGTAATGCATCCAGAAACTTTCAAAGTAAAAGTCATGAACCGATAAAGGTTTCTTTGGGGTCACAGTTCATAGATCAGGCTGTGTGTGAAGGTTTCTTAGATAAAGTAAGCATGAACTGCAATTAATGTTTTTGAGATGGACGATGGTTTGACTGCCACAATCCACTTTGTGATCCCACTGAAACTAGCTGTTAGCTCATCAATCCTGTCTGAAATTTAAAAAATTCCAAAGTGAGTCCAATAATATTTTGTTTAAAAAATATCTGAATGTTCTCCTACTTGTATCTTTTATCTTAGTTCTGTCAAAATGATTAATAGTAATAATAATAATGTAATAGTAATGAGTAATAGACATGAATGTCTGTTTAGAGCACCAAGGTAAACTTCAAAGGTTTTTTTAAATTCTGCTTCAGCAACTCAAATACGCTGCAGTTGCCACCTCCAACAGTTAATTATGATCAGTTCTTTATGAAAACATGAGTAAATGTGAAAAGGGTGTGTAATAACTTAAAGGAGACATACTTTGACTTTTTTCTTAAGTCATAAAAGTTACATGGTCTATAAAACATGTTTATGAAGTTCCATTCATCCATTTTTGGCCGTTCATCCAGGTTTGAGTCGCGGGGGCAGCAGCCTGAGCAGAGAGGCCCAGACTTCCCTCTCCCCAGCTACTTGCGCCAGCTTCTCCAGGGCAATCCTAAGGCGTTTCCTGGCCAGCTGAGAGACATAGTCCCTCTAGCGTGTCCTGGGTCTTCTTTAGGTCTTTTCCTGGTTGGATGTGCCCGGAAAACCTCACCAGGGAGGCATCCTTACTGGATGCCGGAGCCACCTAAACTGGCTCCTCTTGATATGGAGGGGCAGTGGCTTTACTCCGAGCCCCTCCCGGATGACAGAGCTTCTCCCCCTATCTCTAAGGGAGAGCCCAGCCACCCTGCGGAGAAAATGAAATTCTTTATCTAGTTCTTTGCACTAAATCCCTCTCACATGAAGACATTTTATTAGTTTAATTCTTGAAAATTTCAGTAATTTCCAGAATTTGTGTTTTCAGGGCTCTGTCCCTTTAAGAAAACAAGCTGAAGCTGGCCACGCACACCCTTCCCCGCTCGGGCTGCTATTAGCTGAGAAGCTCCAATATCTGGGAGGGGGCAACTCTCTTTCATCTGTGAGAAGGTTCCATTCTAATTTTCTCGTTTGTGACAAAGTTTTTTTTAATGGCTTATTTTAGGCACAAAATTCCTAAAACCAAACACTGAGAAAATAGATGGATGTTTGTTTGTTTTTTTCACATTTGGGGTGTTTGTAGAGGCAGTGGAGACTCATATGGCAGCAAAAAAGGATGCAAAAGGTGATACATGCATAAATCTTCCCCAGATTAAAATGTATTTGTGTTTGCTAATCAGCTGTGGTGGCCGTTTTGGATTGGACTGACTTCAAAGGTCAGTTGGTCTTATGATTTCTCTCTGATAGTTTCATAACACACACACACACACACACACACACACACACACACACACACACACACACACACACACACACACACACACACACACACACACACACACACACACACACACACACACTTGCTTTGTCGATGGGTGATGACAATCATGAGTCATATAGATCATAACAGATACCCACCCTCCCGGTCCACACACTTTGGCTTTTGCCCCGTTTGGACCAAGTGTTGTGAGACCCACCAGGGATTATGAAGCCATGGGTCATGTGATGGCGGATTAGTGGTTCCCTACCGCAGTCGTAGGTTGGCTGACCGGCAGGTCCATTTTCTCACTCCACAACCATGCTGGGTAACTTCAACACCAGGGATCTTTTCAACCACTTTTTCTGTGAGACAGCCAAGGGCAACCCTGGCCTGTGGTGAGTTTTTCTGATCTTCTCGTTCCCTTTGGTAGCTTTCCATTGAAATGAAAGATGGTGTGTGAATCTACCTAAAAATCCACTTTATTCCAGATTAGGATGTTGCCGTCTTATGTGAACTGTTATAAACAGGTAATGAGATTGCATAAAGAATGTTTTGTTTTCTTTGGGGTGCTTGTTGCTATATCGCTGGGTGTTTTGACGCCGGATTATCCACTAACAGCCTAACACCACACTTAAGTTGGGGATATATTCTATAACAAGCTTAACAGGCTATCTATACTAATATGGAGACGGCTTTTGTGAGTCAGGTGCTTTTACATGAACGGTTTGAGTCAGTGTTGGCAAATTTGACAAAGCTGGATTCATAGAGAAGTGTCCCAAAGTGAGAGGGGAGACTTCGTTAGTGATCCAAAGTCGTTTTTTCTCCAAGGTGAAATCATATCGGATCAGTTCACCGGGAGGACTGAGTCAACGTTCTTCAGTAAAGATTAAACTGCTCCTAAACCCTAACAAGAGCCGAGAGTCTGCTGTCCGTGTGTGACATCATCTGTCCACGTTGTTTATGTTGCAGATTAGGGATCGGACGCATCAGATTAAATTAAAGACGTGCCAGGAAGCAGCGAAGCGCTGTCAAGGTGGACTGGGTTCGTTATCGTAGAAGTGTGCAGAGCTTTGGCTTTTGTTGTCCTTTATCGTAGAGCAGAAGATGGTTCCAGAAGCATTCACTCACCATCTTCTGCAGCAACTGCAGCTAAAGAGTCTCTTTGCATTCATCCTTCACCTTTATTTTGAGGACTCTTCTTTTAGCCAGAAACTGTTTGCAGAAATGACCAAACCATGAACATCTTCTCATCTGGCTGGGTCACATTTCAAGAAATTTTACAAAAATATATCAAGTTTTTTGAACATCATGCTTTTATTACCTTGTCTCATTGAAATTTTAACAAACTAACTTGCCCCAAAATGGAACATAAGCACTCTGGGAAAGAGGTTTTTTCTTCCTACTCCTCATATTACTGAAGAACGCCCCCAGATAATGATGCCACCAGGGTGCTAACATCCTCCTAGACAGATAAAATGTCTTTTTTCTGCTTTTTTGTTCATTTGTTTCTTGTTTAAAATACAGAAAGTCAATGAGAGTTTAAGAGAGTCAAAGCCAAAATGAAGAAATAATCTTGAGCAAGAAGACGAAAAGTCTGAACCAACCAAAGTCAGTTTCTGTGAACAATCCTTTTTCCTTTGGTTTTTGTCCAAAACTCAACTGCTCTCGAGTGAAATACCTATTTAGATCAAAAACTCTATTTGCCATATTTACTCTTTGTGATAAATACAGCACGAGTAGTCAAGCAAAGCCAAACACAAGGAGACGTCTTGTGACTTGCAGCAGCGATACTGAAGCAGGAGAGGAATTTTGTTAAGGCCCTTGCCCCAGATGGCGAGGCTGCGAGAGCGTTTGTTTTGATTTGGGAAGCACGCAGTTTTTCAGGCAAAATGAAGATGGCTGGGCAGTGTAGTGACCTTTGGCATTACATAGCTTTCTTAACGCTACACACGATATCTCCCTATCTCAAAGCACCCCAGTTTCAGTGAAGATGAACCCAATTCTCTTCATGCGTCAGATGGACTAACAAACCTGTTCCTTGGTGAAAGGTGTCCTGGGACTCATTGCCAACAGACGAATGTGGACGGTCCGCGATGTGAGAGTGGCGACGAGCAAGGAATGGTGGCCAGCCCCCCAACGTCGCCTCATTCCCCACAGACGGACCTGAGGGACCAAACGCCCTCGCCGAACTCCGGACAGAGTAACACTAATGGTCCTGCGTGGACCAATGACGCTGGCCTCGACAACCCTGCCTTTGAAGAAAGCACCGAAGAAGACAGTGGGTTGAATTGTTTTAAATAAAGACGTTAAAGATGTTAAAGTTAGCGAAGTTCCATCTTTGTATATCCTTTCTGTCTCTAGGTGTGGTGGGGTTGGAGTGCGTGGTCCGCAGGGTGAAGCGGCCCCTCAGTAACCCTTGCATCCACCTCCTCCGTTCTGTCAGCTCCACCTCTTCTGGCTGGGACTGTCCCGAATCTCCACCTCTATCAGCTGAGGAAGGTGCAGCAACCGTTGTGAGGAAAATGTAGATCACAAATTCAGAAACATGTCCGTGTTTGATGTGTTGCTGTTGCTCATTAGGCTGTGTTAAGTTGCCCTCCCTCCCTGAAGGAGAGATAACCACCATAGAAGTCCACCGTTCCAACCCCTATGTTGAACTGGGAATCAGCGTTGTTGGTGGAAATGAGACGCCTCTCATCAACGTCGTGATTCAGGAAGTGTACCGAGACGGGGTCATTGCACGAGACGGCAGGTTGCTGGCCGGAGATCAGATACTACAGGTGGGAAATCTGTTCAGGGTATAGAGCTAAAGTAAGAATTGTAGAAGGAATCCGGTTATCAGCTGTGCTGTGTGTGTGTGTGTGTGTGTGTTTGTGTGTGTGTTTGTGTGTGTGTGTGTGTGTGTGTGCAGACTCTTGATGTAAGATCAGATTCTTCTGCTCCTTCCCTTCCAGGTGAACAACGTGGACATCAGTAATGTGCCACACAGTTTTGCCCGCTCCACCCTGGCGCGGCCTTGCACTACCCTACAGCTGACTGTGCTTCGGGAGCGTCGCTGTGCTTCTCGGGCTCCTCCCTCTTCATCTTCCTCCTCCTCCACACCGGCCGTGCCCCACGCCCCCTGCTCCACACCTGAGGGCACCCCTTCCAGCCCTGCCGCGCTCAGAATCACACTCCACAAGCGAGACTCCACAGAGCAGCTCGGCATCAAGCTGGTGCGGCGGACGGATGAATCAGGAGTATTTGTGTTGGATCTCCTGGAGGGAGGCCTGGCAGCAAAGGACGGCAGACTGAGGAGTAACGACCGCGTGTTGGCAGTCAACGACCAGGACCTGCGCCACGGCACACCTGAGCAAGCTGCTCAGATCATTCAGGTACAGATGGACGACTATGACCTTTATGGTGTCACGTTCGCATTTCAACCCCGATCCTATTCTCCGTAGGCCAGCGGAGAGCGAGTCCACCTGCTGATCGGACGAGCCACCAAACCGACTCCACCCCCACCGCCAAAATCCAGCTCAACCAGAGACCTCTACTGCCTTGAACACTTCCTGCCTAATCACAGCTCCACTCCGAGTCCTGTGCCGGTTCACCTGTCCCGAACCAGCACACACAGAGTGAGTGTGGTTGTTCTCAGCTCCATCTTCACGTGACAGAATAACACAGTGACTTATGGAAATTATGATGTATAAACATTCTGTTGTACTTATTTGCTTAATTTGTTTAAACCCGTGTTTCTAAACTATCGCAGGATCTGTCACAGTGTGTGTCATGTAAGGAGAAACACATCACTGTAAAGAAGGAACCCCACGAGTCCCTAGGAATGACTGTAGCTGGTGGGCGGGGCAGTAAGAGTGGCGAGCTGCCCATCTTTGTCACGAGCGTCCAACCCCACGGCTGCTTGTCGAGGGATGGGCGAATCAAAAGAGGTCACCTATCGTTTTTTTTTTTTGTTTTGTTTGTTTTTTTACAGTAAACAAACAGCTGAGCATCACCTGAGAAATCCTTGTCTTCTCCTCCTGCAGGTGACGTCCTGCTGAGCATCAACGGCCAGGACCTGACCTACCTGAGCCACAGCGAGGCCGTGGGCACCTTGAAGGCCAGTGCTGCTTCGCCCTCAGTTCAGCTGCGGGTGTTGGAGGTCAGCATGGTGGAGGAGCACGACCATGACGAGCTGCTGGCTCACACTCACGACAGCGACTTTGATGCCAATTGGTCCCCGTCATGGGTCATGTGGCTGGGCTTACCTAGGTGAGCAAGAACATGATTCAAAAATCAGAATAGAAAAAAATTTCTTCTATGGGTCTTCTTGAAGTGTTAAAATAAAACAATTTTATTTCACCCATCCTGGATAGAAAAATAGCATTTGTGTCAAACTAGATTGATAGGCTAACAGCTAGCACAAATGTCGCTAAGGCTAAAGCGGATTCCTGTAGCATCAAAACACCTCCTGTCTCCATCATTTTGTAACAGTTTGTGTCACATAGTTTAAGAACTCTCACAAGACAGTAACTTTGGCCTTGCTTTGACTAGCCGTTAGCTTGTCAATCCTGATGAGACACAGAAAGACACTTAAAAAAAGCTGAAATATCACTAACTGTGAGCGTGGTAAAGACATGTCGCACTTTCCTACAGCTACCTGCACAGTAGTCATGAAATCGTGCTGCGAAGGAGCCACCCGGGCAGCTGGGGCTTCAGCATTGTCGGGGGTTACGAGGAAAGTCACGGCAACCAGGCGTTTTTTATCAAGACCATCGTCCTTGGCACACCCGCGTATTACGATGGACGCCTCAAGTGAGTGATTCGTTCTTAATCCGATGACTTCCAGTAAGAGGTGATAAAGAATGTGATTTTTTCACATCTGTCTTGTGCATAGGGAACCTATAGTCTCCTTTCCACCGAACACATCCCTAAACAGCCCAGAACAGACTTTGCAGCAATTAGCCACCATTATAGTGGACTGGTTTCTTTCAACCGGCAGCAAAGGTTTGGTTGTGTCCCAGAAGCAAAGGCACGCTATCATGTTTCTAGTCTATTTTTTGCGAGCTGAACTTCCAAAAAAAAGCCAAATTCCGTTATTTAGATCAGGCCAGACATGAAGTCAAACACAAAAGCAGTGTAAAACATCTGGAAACTTTCAAAATAAAAGTCACATGCAGATAAACTTATGCCGTTTTCTGTTAAAACCCCCATAGCTGATGTAAACCGAAGAGAAAATAAACCTTCAGACCTTTTTGGATAGATGCAGCTGTTGTCTTCTTTACTCATTGTGTGGACTTCAGAAATCACGCATGGTGTTGCAAGTGATTTTGAGACTTTGCGGGATCAGCAGCATGGAACGCCGCCGCTCCTGTTTTGCATCTGAAATGCTCCCAGTTGGAAATGTACACTGACCCCTTTTCTGTGTTGTTTCAGGTGTGGGGACATGATAGTGGCGGTCAACAGCCTGTCGACTGCAGGAATGAGCCATTCGGCGCTAGTTCCCATGCTGAAGGAGCAGCGAAGCCGGGTGGCCCTCACTGTGGTCTCCTGGCCCGGCAGTCTGGTGTAACTAGGACAGAACGTTCTATATTGGGAATAACCTTGGCCAAAGTGAATTGGTACATGTTACTGTACATCGCTCCATACTGGGCTTAATCCAGGACCAAAAAGCACTCAGAACCGTGGTGGACCCAGAGGGTTCCAGATTGTGCCACAACACCTGACAGACTGCTCATGAAACACGCTGCTGTGTTCATATGGTCATGTCGTTTTCGTTCCTGCAGGGAGAACGGTACTGCAACTGTTAGGCAACTCGTGCCACGTTCACCTCACCGAGCAGTTGTAGCATCCAGGGCTGCATCCAGACGGAGGCGTTGCTGCAGGAAAATAAAGACTTCTTTAATCTAGCTGCAGCAGCAATGCTTCCTTCAGAATGAGCCTCAGGCCTTATTAGAAACCTGCCGCATCCTGGGGGCTCGTTGTCATCACCATGACAACCAGCTTGCCCATCAGCCAGTCTTTTATACGTGTGAATGTGTGTTTTCTGTAATAAACATTTCCTCTTTAAAAGGATTAAAGCTTCCGTTTCTTTTTGGTAGTAAGAGTTTAGTTTGATTCAATTCTTTAGATATTGGAGCTTCAATGGACTTCCATCAGGCCTCCATAAAAACAATGTCTAGCATTGCACTGAAGCTTTTACTCAATTAACTTTTTCCCTATTGGAAAAATAGTGAAACCCAAGTGTTTGTGGAAAAAAATAAACTCATTTGCTAGTTTAGAGTTTTATTGTACAAGTCTGCAGCCACAGAATATAATACAAGATTAATGTTGCTGCCTTGAAGGTTTATTCTCCTCTAAAGTTGCTTCTTGCAGCTTTAGAGTGAGCTGTTCCTCTTCTTCAGCCGCTGCAGCAGACTGAGAAGGCCAATCCTTTTTAGGACCTCGTTTCTAGAAAAGCAGAGGAACCAAGTCATGCATTTTGCACAAGGATTTTATTTATTTATTTATTTTTAATCAAGGATGCTTGAAAGGAAACTACCTTTTTCTTTGCAGGATCATGCACCTTACCGTGTCGCCACAGGATTTCCTTATGAGAGATACAATATTAGTAGAACCTTTAAGAAATTGCAATGAATGCAGCCGTAAGTGAGCCAGGTTCCGTTTGAGTTTTCCTCTCCACTGTCTTTACATGCTTGCCTAGTGTAGAGAATGCTTTAAAGTTTGACTTGATTTAATCTGATTTTGTAATAGGAAACCTTTATTGGCATAATGAACTGAACTTAAATGTTTACTTTGCCAAGTGCCTTGAGACAACCATGATGATTTGGCACCATGTAAATAAACCGAGTTGAATTAGCCTAACATATCCAACTGATGCACATTGTATTTTATGCACAAATTATAAAAATTCAAAACATTTTACTCCCATTCAGCCCTGCACGTCATCTTAACGAGAAAATAACTAAAGTGATCAATCACCATTTTCCAGCCTGAATAGAAATATTTATCCCCTACTTAAGCATTTGTGCAACAATCTGCAGAAAAAGCTACAGAAAGTGGTTCTTGTGCAAAGTCTTACTTTCATGGCAAACGTCTTCCCACAACCAGGATAGGCACAGCCAAAAGGCTTCTTCCCTTCATGATCTCCCAACTCATGACTCTCCAAGCTCAGGCGGCGACGGAACTTCTTGCCACACCCTTCTCTGGTGCACAGGAAGTACCGCTTCTCCCCAGAGTGCACACGCAGGTGGTGCAGGTGCAAGAACCAGGTGCAGTTGAACAGCTTCTCACATTGTCCACACGGCAGCTTAACTGAGAGGAAAGTCGATTACGACAAATGTGATGCAACTAGAGTGCTGGTTAGGTTTTTTTTTTTACCTTCATGTTCTTTTCTGTGCTTCTGATATTCCGACCAGGTGTTTGCCAGGAAAGGACACGACTCAGAATCACAGGGATAACCTGAATAATCAAAGCTGATTTTATTTTTCTCCAAAAGTTGCAATAAAACACAAAATAAAATGACCTGCTCACCTTTATGAACCTTCTCATGATGTTTAAGTTGTGCTTGGCAGGGGAAGTCCTTCACACAGCCACTGAAAGAACAACTGCACAAAAAGAAAATTTTGAGTTGCAGAAGTTTTCCTAAACGAATCTGCTGTGCATTCACTCACTGAAAGGGAAAAGGATCTCCATGCTCACACTTGTGAGCTTTCAACTGGTTCTTCTGTTTGAAATCCTTCTCACATCCCTGATGGTTGCACTAGAAATCACAAAACCTTCAGAATATTTCATATAAAATGCCGAAACCAGAGATTGCCATACTGGATATCGCTTTTCCTGGTGCAGGTGGACCCGAGCCATGTGGTTCTTCATGCTGGCAGACGTCACGAAGGTCTCAGAACACCCGTCATTCGGACACCTGCAGACCAGAGGTAAAAGACAAAGACATAAATAAAATTAATAAAAAAAAAAAAAGCATCCTCTCATGATAATTTTAAACAAACAAGGTGCTTACTTGTGTGGTTTCTCTCCACTGTGCTTCCGCTCATGTCTGGTGAGCTGGTAATGAGTGCAGAAGCTCTTGTCACAGTTCTCACAGGAGAAGGGTCTCTAACATGAAGAAAAACACCCATCAGCATCTACAGGAGCTCAGCCAGACATGCATCTCCTCTCCAGCTGCTTACCAATCCTGTGTGTTTGCACAGATGAGCTTCCAGCTTCCACGGCTTACGGAAGGCAGCTTTGCAGTCTGAAAAAGTGCAAACATGCGTGTTCTGATTATGCAACCTCTCCCCCATCTTCAGCAGACATCAGGTGTTGCTCTAACCAACAAAAGGTTGTCAAGGAGTCGGGACATCCACTGACCCGCACCTACCAACTCACCTGGGCTTCATTTATCTTATTGGAATGTACCATTTTAAGAAGAAAGGGGGTGTTCTGCTTTGTTTATGTTTAGAAAAAGGAAGAAAAATCATGTAAATAAACAAAATAATGATTATTTTTACTGGCTTTTATGTCAAATTGCTCAGAATTTATTATGTTGATGCTGGGATATATAATTTAAAAGCAACTTTTACTAATTGATACAAGCTGTAAAACTGTCAGCCAGGCCGGCTGCCTGTCTCCATCCATCAGAATTTACTCGTCTAATCTTTATCTTATCGCTCCTCTAATAATTCTCTCGGATAGCAGGGATTTATAGTAGAACAGGTGAGATCCTGCCCCGTTTTTCTCTTTTTTCTTAGAGGTAAACGAATCCCTGAAACAGAAAACTGAGTCCGTTTCAGAGGTGAGGTGTTGTGATTCCTGCCTTTGTTAAGTCAACACGTCATGGACAATCCAGGGACCCTATCTGCTTGTCCAAACATCCCAGATGGCCCAACGAGGCCGAGCTCTGATCTCATGTGAAACCTTTGACTGACTTTGGTGAACAAGGCCTATTGAGAGGCTGCTGGGTGTTACCTTTGTGGCCTCCCACGCTCCAGGTAAGCATTCCTGGATCAGCCGGCGTGCCGTTATCAGTCTGCTTCTCCTCTCATCCGGCGCCCTGACCACCTCCAAACACCCCCGCCTGCTCTGTCAGGGACAGGATCAATACAGCTGGACCAATATCCTCTCACACAGCCATGCTTACACCTGGCTGTCCCTGATAACCACCACGCCCATCACACACACTCACACACACACAGATCCAGCTCTATTTGTGGGATTTCCTTGTGCTTTGTTAGATCTTCAAGCCAATTCCAAGCATGTCACACCTTAACTTACATCATAGTCACAAATATTACTCTTGCCTCAGATTGTTTAAATGGACTGAGGAATGTTGAGGCATTGGAGGGAATTAAGGAGATCAGGAAGTTCACTATAAATGTAATATAGGCCCAAAATCCTCATTTTCACTCTCAAAATCATATGATATGTGACAATAAATCAAAAATATATCTAAATTAAACCATAAATGTATTTATGTCTCTTTTTGAGAGAATTACTGGCCTATCTATCCAATATTTGTCTTTTTGATGCAGACTTTGACGTTCCATGGTTAGAAAAGTCATCTCTTTTCTAAAATTTCCCACTGTATCTCCTTTTCTCAATTAATTTTTTTTTGTATAGATGACAAATTATAGTTTTTTTGTATTATTTCATGCTGTCAGCTTAAATTTACATTAAAATATAGACAAAAAATAAACATTTATCTCATTCCCTCTCAGGGGGATTGAGGCACTGATGTGAAAACTCGTGCAGCAGCTCTGCACAAGCTTGTCTGTGTCCAGTAATCCACTGTTTGCTTGTGTGTGTGTGTGTGTGTGTGTGTGTGTGTGTGTGTGTGTGTGTGTGTGTGTGTGTGTGTGTGTGTGTGTGTGTGTGTGTGTGTGTGTGTGTGTGTGTGTGTGTGTGTGTGTGTGTGTGTGGTTAATGTGTAACAGCCCAGGTCGATACAGCTGCTCCGAGCTGCCTGACTCAATCCGTTTGTGTCAAACTGGTGTGATTAAAGACTTCGTAGAGCTCTGCAGCTTTTAAACCACAGACTCGGGGTCTCTCACCCTCTCCTTGCTTTTTGTTTCTTCAATCAGTAACTTCTATGAGTCAGTAAAACACACACACTCACACAAAGAACCTACAGTAGATTTTTAAGTGAAATAATGAAAACCTCATTTATAACACCTTCAGTTTTGTATATTTTTTTAATTAACCACCAGGTTTGACCGGTTTCCTTAAAGGTGTGAGAACCGACACGGTCAACCTTTCATTTATCTAATAGTCCAAATAAAATCCAGACCAATCAATACCAAGGGCTTTGGCTGCCAACCTGCCAACTGATTGATTGCATTTAGTTTTTTTTCCATCTGCTTTTATCTCATTGGGTTGTTGGACACTTATTACTCCGTCCTGATAAGGTTGGTGTTTAAATCCCCTGACCCCAGATCAGCAGGGTTACGGGGTGCAAAAAGACCACCTAAGCCAATTCCAACATAAATATTTATTCCTTAATACTTGTTTATTCTTACTTTTCTCCAGTTTTATCATATGCATGTATAACAACATAAAGATGCATTCACAGAAACCCAGATCTTAGTTTTCCGACCCGAGTCCAGCCTACTCTGGTCCTTCCTGAGCGGCCTTATCTCTGCAAACTGCTCCTAATTTGTGTAAATATTATGAAAAGCACTGAGATGAGGTGAGATAACCTATTTGTCACATAACCAGCCAGCCATTCAGCCTCCACTGATTAAACAGCACGCATTAAGTGATGCACGCGCACACACACACACACACACACACACACACACACACACACACACACACACACACACACACACACACACACACACACACACACACAGAGGGAGAAAGAAAACATGTTTGATCTCATTAATTATTTATGCAACTGAGAATAAAATGAATAAAGAAAAACTACATTATTATATTCAATAATTTCCATTTCAGTAATAAAACAGTAAACCCTGAATTTTATCAAAATTCTTTGTAGTTGTACTTTTGATCTTGACCAAACATGGACAATGTGGTAATGTCTCCCCTTCATTGACCACCACTGATCTTTTTCGTAATTTAAACATTTGTGTCAAGATTCATCGTGAATGATGAAATGTCCTAAATGACAGATAAATCCTAACCTAATGTGACAAAAAGCTCTTGACTAGAACGATCATGCTGGTTTTTAATCAGGAATTGTCATGACTCCCTGTCTTTCACCCTCCTCTGCCTGTTCCAGCCAGGACCTGTTGCCACAGCAACCTCAGCCTGCACCTCATCAACTCCATTCATCTCACCTGTTCCTGTCATCAGCCTCATTCACCACACCTGTTCCTCCTGCTATATAAGAACCATCCAGCTATCCAGTCACTGCCAGATTATTGAAAGCTCTTGCTAGAAAATTTTCCAGCCATTCACCCTGCCTGATCTCAGCCTCCGGACCTTGTTTTCACTCCTGACCCCTGACTTGTACTCTGCCTGCCACCTCGACCCTCGCCTGTCTGCTACTTCGTCTCCAGCCTGTTCCCTGTACCTGCTTGTCCGATCTGGTTTTTGACTTATGCCTCCTCTCCGACTCTATCTCAAGCCTCGCCCTCCTCTGGTAACTCCACATCTAATAAAGACTTTTTATCTATTTTTTTACTGTGTTTGGCGTCATCACGGGTCTTCCGAGTTCTGTGCGTGACAGGAATCTGCTGAATCTTGACCTGAGTTGATACTTAATGGCTTAAAAAGTTGGATTTTATCATAATTAAAGTCTATTGCTATTAATATAATGGATTGTAAGTCTTTAATTAGTAAAATTAGTCCTGAAGTAGAGACCCACAGCTTTATAACAGAGTTGCATGAATGAAAGGCAGCAGAAAGTGCAGCTCTTGTTTGGACAGTGCTGGTGGAGTCCCACAGGGGTTAGTGTTGGGCCCACAAATTTTTTCATTTTATACAATGACATCTTCCAAGTTTGCAAAGAGTAAAAAAAATGCTATTTTTGCTGGTGATACTAATGTTTTAACCTACTACCGTTGTGTATTTACCTGTATTTTTTGTGTGCTGCTCAGTTGATTTTATTCTATATATTTTGTTTTGGGGACGACTTGCAACTGCTATTTAAAAAAGATGATTACAGAAAGGAATAAAGAGCTGGCTAGATAAAAACAGTATAATTAAATCTGAAGAAAACTAAAACAATAGTAATTGTAAATAGAAAATTAAAAACAAATGTCACTATTCAAATAAATACTATAGATACTGAAAGGAAAACAGATTCTTAGAGGTGACAATAGGTGAGATATTGCATACATTCATTCTACAATGTCCAGTATTTCAGATCTAAATCCAGCTAAACAAGTATTAGATTTTCCACCCCTCCACATTCTTTACAGTTCACTGGATTTACCATACAGTATATAAGCTACTTTGGGTTAATAACTACAAAACTGGTTACTGTTCAGAAAAAGGCAGTTAGGATAATTCATAAAATAGGTGTAGGGATCACACACATTTACTGTTTTTACTACGTGGAATATCAAACAGATATATTAATGTTGGATATGAAACAGGCTGAATAGGTTATGATCTGTGGGAAAGGGGTGGGAGTTTATAAGTATGTACTTATTCTTGCTCCTTTTCATGCATGTGGCTTGAATAGGTGGTAGGACAAAGACTCTGATTAGTAGAACACCTTGATTTAGAAATGTATCATTGTTTTGATGTTTTTCATTTTTAACTAATTCACCTTGCGCAGTGGTGCATTTTCAAAACAAAAGCAAAAAATACATGAATAAAAAACTGGTGCACATCGCCACCTGCTGCAGCAATGGAAGACAACTGGGTGACATCATCGCCTGTACTGGAACCATGGGCCAGTGGTTCCAAACCAGGGGTATTTGTACCCCTTGTGGTAGATGAGCATATTATGGGGCAGTGGTACTCAATAGGTGGCCCACAAGCCCCCTATTTATGGTCCCCAGATCACGAGGACCCCCACCCCCACCCCCCATCCCCCACCCCACCCTGATACTGTGATAGTGAGCCACACTTAGTCTAACAGCAAACACACCACACCAGCAGATTGTCTCCAAACACTTCATTCACTCCCTGGAAAAATGCCTCATCTGCATCTGCTACCTGCAGGTGTCATCTAACATAAACACCTTGTTTTAGAAACATCACCCTTTTGTTTTTAAATGTAGGGGCCAAGTAGAACGAGAATATTCACAAGTCCAGTCTCTCTGGTGGACGGGAAACCCTTCCCGACCTGGTCACAGTGGTGCCCGGGAGTCTCTGTGTCAGGTCTGACACCGGCTCCTCAGAGCAGGGCAGCTCTGTCTCAGGGAGCAGGGGCGGATTTAGGACTGAAGAAGA